TTCATCTCTTTATATGTGGATATTCCTCAAACGTATAGTTATTTTACTTAAAGTGTCTTATTTTTACTTACTTATCAATAAATATAAGAGCTAAAACTCTAAAACGCTTAGAAAAAAGCATAGGAATAAATCTCCATAACTTTGAGTTAGGCAGCAATTTCTTAGCTACAACACCAAAAGCAGAATAGCAATAAAAGAATATTGATAAGCTGGACTTCAGCAACATTAAAAGGTTTTGCACTTCAAAAGCTATCATTAAGAAAATTTAAAAACTCAAGTCACACAGAGAGAAAAATATTTTCAAGTCATACACTTGAGAAAGGACTTGTATCCAGAATTAGAAAAACAAACCACCACCACAACAAAACTCTTACAGCTCAATAAGCAGCAGCATATAAAAAGATGCTCATTATCACTACTTGTTTGGAAAATGCATACCAGAATGATAATGGGATATCACACACATCCCTGAGAAGGGCTTTCATCAAAAAGCCAGGTAATAACAAGCGTTCATGAGAATGTGGAGACACAGGAATCTAAATACCTCCTGGCAGGAAAGGAAAATGGTACAGCCCCTTTGGGAAACAATTTGGCCATTTCTTCAAGTGTTAAACACATACATACATGCAATTAGCAGTTCCATTCCTACATACCTACATGAGAAGTCAAAGCACATGTCCATACAGAGACGTGTGCACCAATGTTCAAAGTAACAAAACTGGTGAATGGAAAAAGAAATGGTTGTCTCGGGATGCCTGGGTGGCTCAGTTGGCTAAGCGACTGCCTTCGGCTCAGGTCATGGGCCTGGAGTCCTGGGATCAGGTCCCATGTTGGGCTCCCTGCTCAGCAGGGAGTCTGCTTCTCCCTCTGACCCTCTCCCCTCTCATGCTCTCTCTTTCTCTCTCTCTTTCATTCTCTCTCTCTCAAATAAATAAAATCTTAAAAAAAAAAAAAATGGTTGTCTCTGATACTGAAAGACAACTGCCATTTTGCTCACTTCTAGATATTTCTAAACAATCCTTTTATAAATCCAAAATCTCTCTATGTTTAGCCCATGCCCCAGTTCTAAATATTAATTAGTCCAGTTGTATAAATCTATATAGCCACTTAAAATGTTCATAACAAGTTTTCCCACAGTGAAAATGATTTTTTAATGGGAACCTTATATATAATCCATTTCCAAATCCAATTAGATTCATCTGGGGGAAAACACCATTGGCTAAGTTATACAACAAATACTAGCTAAACAAACGTTAACACACTCTAAATGGTGGAATACTGCTACATCTAAAAAACATAATAACCAACATTAATAAGAAACTGGAAGACTGTAATTTTGGTAGTTATTCAAAAAATATGCATTCTGTTCTATTTATAAAGTAGTATCTTGTTCATGGGGACAAAGCCGGTAATCTTCAAACTTGTCGGCTCTACTTGAATGAATGCAAATGCTTCTGTGAAGCAATTACATCTTTACTTTGCTTGGATATATAAACAAAAATTATTATTTTCACAACTGAGTAATGAAAGTCTTGAGCATTAAGCAGATTACACGTATAGTCAGCTCTCATTTACGTTTATAATTTAATGTGGTTATTATATCTACTGTTAATGTGTAACACACAGCACCTTACAGCTAAGCACTGTATTTTAATCTAATAATAGTAGCTATAATATTCTGAAATGCGCTTCAAGAATCAAAGTCGTAATGTATTCATTCATTGAGGGTTTGGATTTGCACTTCATGAGGTCTAGATTTCTTACAACTTGCTGAAAAAGGACAAAGACAAGAAAGCTTTTAAGGAGCTACAAAAAAAAGAAGAAAGGGAAAAAAAAGAATCGTTTGGAAGAATTCCTTTTCCTTGCTAAGTAGAACATGTAAAGGACGGCTGGTGGTCTCCTTCATTTACTAAAGAGAGTAATGGACTAATATGTGTCCACTCGCAGTGACTGACACAGCATGTCCCACTCCAAAGAAGCCACTAAAGGGTCAGGTTGACACTTTCTAATTCATTGTAGAAGGAGAAAATAGGAAATCCAAAAGTCACAAAGGTTTTTTCCTGGATTTTATAAAGAAGGATGGGGATTCAGAATAAGCGTACGGAGCTGAACTCAGCAGAAACACTTTTCAATTCTATGCTGAACAGAGAAATGATACACCCCTTATACTGGCCAAAACATAAAAGGATCTCAATAGCCACATATATTGGAATTAAATTGGAAATTCCTTTTATTTTTATGCTAAAATCTACTTTCTAACTAATTTTTACCACAGACTAATCTTCACACAGTGGAAGTTTCCAACTGAGTTTTATCAAACATTTCCTAGGCGTTCACTATGTGACATCCACTCTACAGAGAGCACAAAGATAAACGATATGCTTCCAGTTACCACACAATACCAAAGCACACCACGCAAGAGCTGACACAATGATGTGAGAGTACATGGAGGATAAAGAAAGAGGAATAGTTAGAGGACTCAAGGAAAACTTTCCAAAGAAAATGATACTTCAGATGGGATCAAGGGGTAAGAAAGATGACCAGAGCACAAGGCAAGAAAGGCGGCAGTGACAGAAAGAAAACTCTAACTAAATGACACCAAAGGTGTGACAAAGCTAGAGAATGGTGGCGATTTTGGTAGGACTGGAACCCAGTGCATGTTTGGGAGGCATGAAAAATGAGGCTAGAGAGAGCAAGATGAGATGTGGCTGAATCAGTGGGGAGGGACCAGAGGCTCAAAAGACATAAAACTTGGGATAAAGAAGGTGCCATTGAAAGTGAGTCTTCAACTGGACCTTGAAAGATGGTAAAACTGGCCAACTTTGGCCAATTTTAGGGACAGCTGGCCAATATAAGAACTGCTCTGTATCCCACAGAGAGAACACCACAGAACTTAATGTGCTTTCAAATCCAGTGAAAAAAACAAACCAAGAGCAATCAGTATGACTACAAGTCAAAACATGCCAAAGACAAAACACGTCCACAACACTCCAGGCCCCTAGAAAATGCTATGGCTTCCATCCAGAGAGAATGCAACAATAACAACAAAGTCTACTGTCTCAGCTGATGAAGAACACAATGCTCCATTCCGTGTCTGATCTCCCACAACTCTGATATCCATCTGGTAGCCAGTTGCCTCATGTGCCTATTTAAATTTAACTTCATTAAGATTAGATTTAAAAATGATTCCTTAGGTGCCCTAGCCATATATCAAGTACTCAAGAGCACTTGTGACTAGCGGCTACCATACTGAACAGTGGGGATACAGAACATCTCCCTCACTGTAGAAAAATCCATTGGTCGGTGCTATCCCGAAGTCATCATCACAGAAGAATAGGAGAAAATTCCTTACGGACAAAAAAGTCACATTACAAACAACTCTGAGATCCTCAGATCACTCAGCACTGAACTAGGGTTACAAGAGTATATTCAATATGTTTGTCAAAGTGAATTTTAATATAAAAGAATGAATTACGGAAATGGCATAGACATACGTAGTCCACTATGTGCAAAAACTATCTCTGCAGTAACTCCATTAACAGATTCCACAACTGAAGCTTTGTGTCACACTTCCAGAAGTAATGATATAGGACACAACCACAAATGAGTTTGGCAAAATGGATACAGCCAACTAAAAAAGAAAAAAAAAAAAGACTAGGTGCAGCTCACTCATCACAATAGACATCCCCCCATATGAATGACATTTCACATTTTGAAAGTGAAAGTTTATCATTTAAAGGAATCCTGTGGAAAACCAATCTATAAAGAGAATTACCATCTTTTAATTGACCTAATTAGAGTATTTATGTTGTTAGAAATAGAGAGAGTGAAGTATCATGGAGAGTGAAATGCCACAGAGCCAATGCTGACCAAAAGAAAGTTTTCAGGGGGTACGTACTCCCTCCTTTCTCTCCCAGGATGAACTATCCTGAGACATGGACATACTTAAGTGGTTCAGACAAAACTTCATTCACAAGAATCTCAATGAGGTGAGGGAAAAGGAGAAAAATCCTATAGAAAATGAGCAAGAGAATTAAACAGGTACCTCACAAAAGAGGATCTCTCCTGAGCTAATTCCATCTCATTAATAATGAGAAAAATGCAAATCAAAATCATAAATAAATATCACTAAATACTTAACAGGTAAAATTAAAAAAGAAAAAAAAAAAAAAAACTAACAATGCCAAAGTGCTAAATTGGAATAAATGGCAATCCCAAACACTGCTGTTGAAAATGCAGTTGGTAAAACCACTTTGGAAAATCATTTGGGGTTACTGACCGAGGTTGCAACTATGGATATCTGCTAACATCCACTTCCAGAGCTGGGGAAGTAGATGCCGGAGACAAAGTTATGACATGTGCATGAGGGACCTGTACAAAGTGATGACACAGCTTCAGTTTTAGCCAAAACCGAACAGACACCAATGCCAATCATCATTGGAATGGATCAACTGTAAAATATGCACACTGCAATTAATTTCTCCACACCAGTAACAATAAATAAAACTGCACTACATAGAAGAGTGTGGATGAATCTCACAAATGATACGGAGCGTAAGCTATTTCTATTACATACAAAAACAGGTAAAATTAAACTATCATAATGGGTGAGGTGTGATGGATATTAAAATTCTTTAAAATTCTTTAAAATAAGAACAAAAGCCACAAAGACCTGGTGTCACGACAGCGGTGATCTCTGGAAGGAGAAAGAAGAGCTAGAAATTAAACTGGGAGAGGGTGTGTGGGGACCTGTGGAAGGCTGGTCATACACTATTTCTCTGGTGGTTTCATGGATACCCTCTTTGTGATAATTTATTGAGCTGAACACTTTTGTGTACTTTTTTTTTTTTTTATATGAATGTTGCATTTCACGAAACACACAAAAAAAACTTAAAAGAAAAACAGTCTCTCCATCCCTGTCCACAGGGCCAGGCGATTCCCAATACACTCCACTCCTGGCCAGGTTTTAAACTTCCCCCCGCTCCCCAAGACTAACTCACCTCTTGTTGCACTTTACTAATTAATGGTGAGACACTGATACTCTCCCCTCCTTCTGGATGGATCTGGAAATTCACTTTTTGATAAAGAATCTGGAAAAAGAACATGACACAGTATGAAGGAATTGTGGTTTTAAATTCATCGCACTTCACAATGTAGATTGGAAATTTAAAAATTACTCTTTTGAGGAAAAAATTGCTATTTCATAATGAACACTTTTTTGGGAACAGGCTTACTTCAGGACTTCCTGGACAGCTTCCCAGTTTCAGAACTGGGAACCACTGGTGGAAAAACTGGTATACAACATATTGAATGACAAGGACATGAAAATGAGAATTCCAGAATCTCTTCCTATATTCTTATATCCTCTACTGATCCCTTCCTATATTTTTGCAACAAGAGCATTAATCCACCCTCAGGCAGATTTATCCTGTGAATTTGAGGAAATTCAGCATCTCCTCAACCAAAACTCTTTCCTCTGCCATTTCCAAAGGGCCTCTAAGGGATGGTGTCACCCCCGGTTTTAACTCCTATGGTTTCAAATATATTTTACATGATCATTTCTTATGTTTTATTCTTGACAACACTAACTTTCCCCATTATATTCAATAATTTACTTCTTAATATGAATTCCTGTTTTTCTCATATTTGCCTTGTACCCGTCCTTCCTTACCATAACAACACTATTTTATATCCTAGTATCTTCAAATCCCTTTTCACATAAGTGACAAGCTATTTTTCTTCCATAAATTAAAATTCTATTATTGTAAAAAATGATCACAGATCTCAGATCCACACACCCAACAAAATACATTTCATACAGTTCGAGATTTACTTTCCTGGGAACACTTACTTCCGTCTGCAGTGAGCTGCTAGCTGCCAAGAGTAGTTCGATGCTGCTAGGAGGGCAGTGTGTCAAAGCAAAAGCCATGAGCTCCTGACGAGTGGCCAAGTCCTGGTAACTTTCTGATTGTCCCAACTGGCTACAAACATCCCAACTCTTAGAATAACCTGCAAAATTGGCAAGCAAAAACAAACTGATTTTCACAAGGAAAGTCTCCAACCTAACATGAGAAATCCAATGGCTTTCTGCTCAGGTCTTGGGTTACCAAACGCAATCGTGGTCATTAGTGATACATAACATTTTCATAAGCACAAATACATACGGATCTAAAATAGAAAAGAAATATTAGGCTGGTTTATTATGCAGAAAGTTTAGCAATATTCCAGACATGTTTTTCTGATATACTCGGCTTCATTTTAGAACACCTGACAATAACTACAAATACTCTACTTAGCTTTGACGTTGAGTAAAAAGCTGGATATCTGAATTCAGAAGACTTGAAGGTATGGCCCAACACTGCTACTTAGCACTTGTGTGAGCTGGAGAGAGTTCCAAGTGTCACACTTCTTTTACTACTACAAAGGGACAATAATAATGCCTTCTTCACTGAGTTGTTGAAGATTAAATAACATTTCTATTTAAAAGCACTTTGTAAACGGTAAAGTGTGAGAAAAGAAAAATTATTATAGGCAGCTACATAGAACCATTCACTTTATAGAAGACAGAGATCCAAGGACAGAGCAATGCCTACAGTCAGCCCTGGCTCCCAACAGAGATCTTTGTCCTCCACAATTTTATACTCAGATTCTTAAAATTTATTTTTATGTGTAGTTGAAGGAGTTCTAGTGTGAAAGGGTTTTGTTTGTTTTTTCTAAGTACTAAGTTCTAGTTCGAAAGGGTTTTTTTTTCTAAATACAAAGGCCTTGGTCCAGAATAATTTCTCTAAATATGTAAAGTAAAAATCCAGGCACTACCCCTATGGGAATAAAATTCTTACAAAGCTCTCTAAATAATTTTAGAGTAATTCACTGTTTTTTCAAAAACATCATAATTATTCTGAACTTAATGTTACAAAGCCAATATTGGTTAATATTAAAATTGGCTTATTAGTTAACATTAACTAATACTAATTAATTAATATTAACATTAATTAGCTAACACTATTTAGTTAATATTAATAGCAATTGGTTAATATTAACATAGTATTACAGAATGTAGCTCTTTTATGAAATTGATTTTCTAATGCTGAAGTTATAAAGCATTGAGTTTTTCCCCCAGAGCTTTAAACATTTTCATAGATGTCCTGACAAAGATTCTCTCCTTGACCAAATATTGGTCAGGCTCCTTTGAAACCTTTTCACATCTAGGCCCACACCTTGGCCCATGCCGGCTGAGCCTGCATAGTCCAGTGTTGGCAATAATCCTACAAAGTCCATTTACAGAGAATCTTCCACCCTTGATAACTGATAACTGTTGATATCTGATCAAATTCCTCCTCCCTCATCCTCACAATCTGAACACCCAGGCCTGCCTTCAGCAAGAATCCTGTTAAGTCAGGTCAGCAAGAACCCACTAAACTTGATGTCTCATAGAATTTTCCATCCACCGACCCCTCACTATGCTCCTTGGCTTTAATCCCCAGCTGTCTTTTCTGTATTAGGAGTTAAGTCTGATCTCTCCCGCCTATTGCAATAGTTTTAACATCTACTGCAAAAGCCCTGAATAAAGTCTTCCTTATGATTTTTAAGAAATGTCAGAATAATATTTTTCTTTAACAGTATACATACAAAAAGTGCAAAACTCCTAAATGCACAGCTCCATGAGTTATCATGAGGTGAAGCCCTATATTTTTAACCGCTCGCTATGAAAGCACAGACAGTAGGTAAAAAGATTGCTTGGGCTTTCATATATTCAGACACAGCTCCAGAAAGCAGATCATTTAGTACAGAGTCTATGATAAGGCAACATCACTTCCTACCCCACAGGGTAATATGTTCTTTCATAGTGAGATTATGCCACAAAAAAATCTGATCTTCCAGAGACCTGACTTTGAATTTCCAAATAGAAAATTTTAGGATTGCAAACTACTTCCTATTTTCTCAACATCAGTTTGAAAAGCACTATGCTATCCCTTTAAAAACAATTAAAAACTAGAAATATTAACTACTCACGAATTATAGATACTTCAAAATGTTTAAATTTTCTTTTATATAACAAATACATGAAAAGGCATTAAAATATTCTATATAAAATTGTTCTTAAAATAATGAGCATATTTTTAATAGGCAATAGAAAGCAACCAAAATCTCAGCTAAAATATAACCCCTAAGCCTATTAAAGTACTTATATTAATATATAAGCACATGGTCTACATACTGATCAGGGCTCATAAAATGTTTCTCATGTCTTTTGAAGAAAATGTGGCTGGCTGCCCAACCAGGCCAATTGATTTGAGAACAGATCTTTTCCATTATTCATCATGTAAAAAGGACCTGAGCCAAGTGTTAAGTGATTTGTCTATTTCACCTGTGGCCATCAGCTCCTGACAATGCACACTGGCTGCTTTGTAGTCGTGGAAACGAAGTGCTTGCTCTACTAAAAGGATCAGAACCTGTCCACGCCTTTCTTCCGGGTCTTCACCTGTAAACACATGCAAATGACTTAATGATTATGGTAGCATCAACTGATAAAAGAGCTCATTAACATTGTTTCAAATTAATTAAAAAAATAAAAGGTAGAGATTAGACTGATTATTGAAAAAGATTATAGGACAAATGTCACAGCAACTTTGACCTTCCAATCTATTTATTAATCCTGGAATCAGCTTTCAGTCTCCTAAGAGATCAATGACTAGTATCAGCCCCAGACCAGCCATTCCAACCTAAGTGGGGGGTAGAGAAAAAGTTTTCCTCCCAACAAGAACTTTAAATTTTTTGCTATTTCTTTTATATTTTGCCCTTTGAATGTTGTTTCTAATTATAATTAATAAATGACAAATACAAGGTGGGGGGAGACTTAAACACACAGTAAACTGGATAGAATTTTATAGTTTCTCTAACAGTACTACCTTTTATTTATCATAGTAAGCATCTAGACTCTAAGAACACATACCAAAATTCAGTTTATGTTAACACAAAGATCTCAATTTTCTCAGGAAGATTCTTGGAAGTCAACTTAGATGTTATGTCCTTCTCTGACATCTCTACACAAGAATTCTTCACAAGAAACACGTGGTTTAGGTGCCCCTCCTACATGTTCCTTCACTTTTCATTCTGTGAATACCAATTTATTGAGATTATCATCTTAAAAATCTGTATCTTCTATCAGAATTTAAGCTCTCTGAAGACAGGGATTCTTTCCTTGTTAAACTCTCAGTACCTGGCACCAAGTCATACACATAACTGGGGCTCAAAAAAATATATCCTCAATGAAATGAGTACAGATTCTATCCAGAATGTAATTTTCAATTATAAGACAAATAATTCAAAGTTACAACATAAACACAATATGTATACTTAGACTAAAAAAAAAAGTAAAACATATGTTATATTTCAATGAGGTAATAAAACCTCATTATTTTCAATATTTCAAAAAAGAAAAAAAAAAAAAGAAATTACCCAATGGCCCCTGCATTTTTAGGCTACAATGTGATTTGTAAGAAAAAAATAAACATATCACAGAAGGGTCTGAATCAAAGTTTTAAAATATGTCACCATTAATCTCCATCCTGTGCTGCATAGGTTTAAATAAAATCCACATATTGGCCTAAGCTAATCAAAAAAGATTAAAAAAAAAAAAACGATAAAACACTACGATTCATAATATTATTTTAGAATAACACCCATGTTCTGTAATGCTCACATATAACACTGGAAATAGAATATGCAAAAAGTCTCTCAATAATAAATGCACATATCACACTTAATATAAAACCTATTTCCTAGATAATACTCTTGAAATTTCTGCATTTATTCAGAGTATCTAAATCAAAAATGAAAAGGTCCAGGGGTGATTCTTTTTTTTATGAGACAACTTGAATAGGTTGCAAAGATATTTTGCAGATATAATTAAATCCCCTAATTAGCTGACTTTAAGTAACGGGTCCATTGATTACCATCATCCAACAACCAAAAAAGAAAAGGTGGAAACAAAGAGTTAAGAGTAAAGGATTCAAAGTGAGAAACTTCTTAACTGTGAAATCTTCAGTAAATTAACTTCTTTATTCCTATCTCCTCACATTTTAAATAAGAGTCATATCTCTGCTATAAAGGACACAGGAAGAAGTAACTTAGATAAGTATAAAAGCATAAAATGAGAATTATTATTGTTAATGTAAGCTTTTATATGAAGATGGGTTCAACAGTCACCTTGGAGTCCAAAGTTCAAATACTGAACTACTTTTAATTCTAGAAAGTTCCAATCTGAACAAGTGGGTAAAGGGGGAAACATAACCAAAAATAGCCTAAAAGAATGATCTAGAAAAATACTACAAACGAAACAAAACAAAACAAATTCTTAACAGTCAAGAGTACGGCCTGGCAAGACATCTATTAAAGAAAATGATTCAGATATTTAGTCTGTAAAGGGGAAGATTAATGGTGGCATAACAAGGCTTTGAGTATATGAAATATAATTTAAGCTATGTCCATAAATTCTCTGACACTCCTTTCTAAAGATGGAGCTTGCTGCCCCTCCCCTTGATGGGAGCTGGTTAGTGATTTACTTCTAACAGAATATGATGGACATGATGATGTGTGACTTCCAAGACTAGATCATAAAAGACCTCACAGCTTCCTCCCCACTCTCTCATGGATCAACTGCTTTAGGGCAACTAGGTACCATGTTGACAGAACATTTAAGAAACCGTATGGAGAGGTCCATGTGGCAAGGAACTAAGGCCTCTTACCAGCCAGGAAGACACTGGCGTCTCCTCCAACTGCCCGATGAGTAAGCCAGCTCAGAAGCAGATCATCCAGGCCCAGTCAAGCCTTCAGGTCGAGCCCATATATACTTCCCTTAAACTTGGGAGGGCCCATGTGACTGCCTCATGACATGATGACAATGAAACTGCCCAAATTCCAAGGCCTAAGTTAGAAAACCCCGTAAAGCTTCTGCTGGTTGCTCTCAGAACACGGACTCTGGGAGCCTTCAGCCACCATGTAAGAATCGCAGTACTCTGCAGCCACCATATGAAAAGACCACAAGGAGAAACCATACAAAGAAGAGATTCAGCCCTGGCTATTCTATCCCCCAGCTATTTAAGTCTTTCCAGACCAGGTGCCAGATATGTAAGTAAAGCAACCTTTGAGATGAGCCAATCTATCCCTAGACATTATCTGGGTGCAATTTCATAGAAGATTCTGAACTGCCTGGCTGAGCCCAGTCAATCTCCAAGAACTGAGAGAGACAAAAATTAAATGACTTTGTTTTAAAGTCACTAAAGCTTCGGAGTGGTTTATAAAGCAGCAGTAGATAACCAGAACACCCTAAAAGCCTCAGATAAACATCACCAGCCTTGCGATCCCCTTCTTAATTACCCTCCTTGCCAGGCAAAAATATTAGCATTGCCCTTCTTCCAAGCTCTCTAGTATCTGTATGCAGAAGCCAGGTACACATCCTGTCCTGTGCTGCAGCGTAATTACCTGCTTCCTGGGCCCTCTAAGATTCTCAATTCCCAGAGGGAAGAAGCTGTGTGTACCAGATCCTTGTATCTCAAGTACCCAGCACAGTGATACTCCCTCACCTGTCTCTGCTTCCATTTCTTCATCTGTAAAATGCAGCTAACAAGAGGCTATTGTACATCATGAAAGAGCGAATATGTAAAAAGAGTAGAGAAGGGGACTGAAAGGTTGTTAATCCCATTAAAAATTCCTACAATTTACCAAGATCACGGGTATTCCTGTTTCCATGTCAACATAACAGAGGACAAAAATGGAAACTGGTCTTCGCAGGTACATAAAAAATGCTGACAGCATCCCTGAGCTGCTTCATTAGTTTCTGCGAAATTTCATTATGAAAGTCTTCCCTGATGATCAGAGCGCTTCAAAGTTTACAAGGTGCTTTTATAGGCATTAACTCGTTCGAGGGTCTTGGAAACATGGAGGATGAAACCAGGGAGTGTCATTCCCATCTTCCAGAGACAAAACTGGAGCTAAAGTCGCTTTGCAAGTGTATGGGACAGTCAGGACTGAAGCAGCCTTCTGATCTACATCCAATCTCTCCCCTGTCATCCAAGATGCCTTAGGATGGGTGACGGGTTCCAAAGCTGCAACGGACCCACAGGTAAAGATGATAATGCTCTGCTTTTGGACAACTGACAAAGGAAAATGTACTAAAACTATAGACCTTCAGAATGAGTCATCTATATTGAGATTTAAAAACATTAGTAAATGTATGTCCCCTAATACACTAAATATATATGTTTTTTAGAGTTCAAAATGTAAACAGGAATCCTGTTTACTTTTGAGTCTATAATATGTGGTTTGGACAAGTCTAACTTCAAACCACAGCTTATAAAATATTTAGCCAACAACTTTTTTTTTTAAAGGTTTTATTTATTTGAGAGAGAGAGAGAAGCACAAGCAGGGGTGGTCAGAGGGAGAGGGAGAAGCAGACCCCCCACTGAGCAGGGAGCCCTTTGCAGGACCTGGGATCATGACCTGAGCCGAAGGCAGACGATTAACCAACTGAGCCACCCAGGCGCCCCTGGCCAACAACTGTTCTTGTAGAGATAAGTGCAAGTCAAAAATACAAAAGAAAATTATTAAGAGACTCTGGTAAGCAGAACAGTGTGGTTAAAGAAGCATAAAAGGTAGAGTCAGAAAGACTTTCCTTGGAAGCCAGGGTCTGCTATTTAACCCTGCTGAGCAAGATATTGCACTTCTCTGAACCTCAATTTCCCTTCTAAAATGAGAAAAATACCATCATCATTACCATGTAATAGAAGATGAAGCACGATCACCTATGTGAAAACCACACCAAACAGTAAATGCACAAATTCTTCTAAGAAATTGCTCGAATTCAAAAATATACCAAATTTGGACACTGAAGGTGAACGGTAGGGCTGACTTTTCTTAAGCTTTCTGGTTACAAACCCTCATCCCAGCTTCTACTCCTGACCTCACAGCCACCTGCTAGCACCCTGAATGAGCCTGTCCTTGTTTAAAGGACAGACAGACCAGCAGCTCAGTATGGGGACACATTTCTCTAACATGCCGATCTTTGCAGAAAAGATAAATCCTTGCTCAAGAGCAGCATTCTGACACCTGCAAGCACATATTCTGACGTTTGCCCAGGATGATGTCAAGAATGACATGGAAACCTTACTCTGCAATTCAGCATTCAAAACTTACCTGCTACTCTCAGCAACTCGGCAAGGCCCAGAAGTTTGGCGGACTGTTTGTAGCATGTGGGGGACTGGCAGATACACTCCTTGATGAGGCTGATCCGATCAGAGCACAATCGCACTATGAAAGAAAGACGAAAGACTCATAACCAGGGACATCACCAAAGAGTGTCACGATGGTGTAAGCAAACACAATGAAAACTCTTAGCCTCCAGATCAAAAAGAATTTAGAAAGACACAATTATTTTTTAAAAATTAAAATTATTGTTGCTTCTGAATACTGTACAGCTAGGATCCTTTGTTACCAACCTCCTGAAACAGCAAATGCACTGGCATTTGGAAGCTAAGAAAAAGCGTCACCTTTTCAAGTGCCATGTGAGGCCTTAGGGAAAATTTTAAAGAACTCAGTATTTGTCTTTGAAAACTTCACATACTTCCTATTACACCAGAGGCCCCAATCATTTTAGCCCCCTGCCCCAAAACCCATTCCATGTTCCAAACATGCATTTTCTACCGCTACCTCAACACCCCAATTTAAAGGGTAGGAATCTTCAAACCGCTCACTCTTCCAATTTATTACCCTTTCTCCAAACAGGTCCAATCTTCTCACTTACGCCAGATATTAGGAAAATAAAACATGTCCGATCAAACCAATTCACATTATGAGGTAATTAAAGACACTTAAAGGGAGAAAAAAACTTCAGTAAAGATTATTCTATGTATGCTAGGAAGAAATGGTTATTTATTTAAGGGAGAGGGATCAAGATATAAGAAGCATGGCACTACCTGGACGGCTGGGGCCCCATAAATACAACAGTAGCAACTATAACAAGAGCAGCTAACGTTACATGAATGGCCCACGTCCCAGGCACTGCTGCAGGGGATTTACATATATTAACCCTACAAGGCAGAAGTTGACAAGGCAGGTGCTATCATCTTCAGAAAAAGAAGTACGGAAAGGTCACTGAAAAAGTGATGGAACCAGAACTCAACCCAGCCCCTTAAGCATTTTTCAAGTCTTCATTCCTTTATCCATCCCCAAATCCATGGCTATCTCCCACACATTCTGTGTTCTTCCCCAGAACTCCCTATAGGTGGCAGAGAGCCCAGGGGATGGGGAGGTAAGGGAGAGAGGTGGTGGTTTTTCTTTGGAATGGGCTCTTTTAGGTTTTCATTATGATTTAATTTCAAACTTACAGAATGGTCGCCAGATGGTACAAAGAACTCTTTGCCAAGAATAATCAATCGTTAATAATTTGTTCCATTTATACTTGCTCATGTACCATCATACATGGGAGCCCCCCCACACACACATACACACACACACAAGTACACGTGTGCACACACATACACACGTCTGTTTTTTCTGAACCATTCAAGACTAAGTTGCATATATCCTGTCCTTTTATTCCTAAACACTTCAGTGTGCCCTGGGTTACTTTAAAATGGCTATTTATACATCTGCTAGTACAGTCATCCTTTGTGGCTTTCCTATAAAACATAAAGTAGATGCAGACTTCAATTACTTAGTTTACCATCATGACAGCCAACATCTACATTTGAGTCTAACTTTGGTACACTGTATTATTGTTCCCAGTATCCACTGTAATTATTCATACCCCAAATACCCACCTGACCAACACTGGGCTTGGCTGTGTAATTTCTTGGGTGATGAAATGTGAGTGGAAGTGACATATGCCACCTCTGAGCCAATGTTTCATGAGAGTCACCATGGGATCCCATTACTGCTCCTTAGCCCTCCCGTGAGAATGCCATCCCATGAGGTGGTGCAGAAATGCCTGGGAGCAAGAAAGCAACTTGCTATCACGTGTCATTGAGGCTTTTGAGATTCCTACATAGCACAGTCTAGCAAAAAGTAACTGATATAGAATACTTCAAACTTTTCCATAACTTTCCTCAGTCAAAAAAATGGGTTTTTTTCCTTCAGTATCTGCTACTGTTTTATGGGGTTTTCTCCTTGTGTGTATTTTAAGAAAATGTGTATTTTCAATATTCCAGATTCAATTACTATGAGAAAGGTACTTTCTACATGTTTCTAATTTGATTTTCAAAACAACACCCATCATAGATCCCATCGTTACTCCACATATGTAAAAACCTGAGGTTTTCATAGAGGCTTTTATAGCTGTATTTGATGAATGATGGTGCTCTTAGAGAAACTCTAGTTTTTTTTTTTTTTTTTTTTTTTAATTTTTTTATTCTTATGTTAATCCCCTTACATTACAACATTAGTTTTAGATGAAGTGTTCCATGATTCATTGTTTGTGCACAACACCCAGTGCTCCATGCAGAATGTGCCCTCCTAAATACCCACCACCAGGCTAACCCATCCTCCCACCCCCCTCCCCTCTCGAACCCTGTTTGTTTTTCAGAGTCCATCGTCTCTCATGGTTCGTCTACCCCTCCGATTTCCCCCGCTTCATTCTTCCCCTCCCGCTACCTTCTTCTTCTTCTTTTTTTTTTTTTTTCTTAACATATATTGCATTATTTGTTTCAGAGGTACAGATCTGAGATTCAACAGTCTTGCACAATTCACAGCGCTTACCAGAGCACATACACTCCCCAGTGTCTATCACCCAGTCCCCCCATCCCTCCCACCCCACCCCCCACTCCAACAACACTCAGTTTGTTTCCTGCGATTAAGAATTCCTCATATCAGTGAGATCATATGATACATGTCTTTCTCTGTTTGACTTAGAGAAACTCTAGTTTTAATAACTCTAGTAAGTGGATTTCCTTACGGTCACCATTCTTTTTCTAGCTCCATAAAATCAAAGTAGAAAACTGAAACCATATATAGCAATGGATCCTCATTTTCTCTGAAGTTCCAAGTTTGGTTCTTTGTCTGATTCTTGCCCTAAGCAAGCCGTAACTACTAATATTTCAAGTACATTAAGTAAATTTGGAGAGTGGGCCTCTAATAGAGTGCAGTTGCCATGTTCAAATGTCTTTTTACTTTATTTATTTATCTATGTTTTGAGCCTCTGGACAATCATTATGCCAATTCTCTTCTACTGCTTACTGCAGGATATGCTACATTGTATTTCAAAATGTGATTTCTCAGGTAAATTCAAGCCTTAGATATTATCATATTTCTGTGAAGGAAAGGAGTCTTCAACACCTAAAATTCCTTTTCAAATGGAACTAACAATATGGATATGCATGTATGAATCTTTTAACAACTGGAGATCTCTTATTTTCCTGTGGATCTCACGACTATATATCCAGTGTTTAAAAAAAAATCTGAAACAAATAATACATTATATTTAAAAAAAAAAAAAGATAGTAGGAAGGGAAAAATGAAGGGGGGGAATGGGAGGGGGAGATGAACCATGAGAGACGATGGACTCTGAGAAACAAACTGAGGGTTCTAGAGGGGAAGGGGGTGGGGGGATGGGTTAGCCTGGTGATGGGTATTAAAGAGGGCACGTTCTGCATGGAGCACTGGGTGTTATACGAAAACAATGAATCAGGGAACGCTACATCAAAAACTAATGATGTAATGTATGGTGATTAACATAACATAATAAAATTAAATTTAAAAAATAAATAAATAAAAATTTAAAAAACTATAATGCACACTGACACACACATGTAAATGCATAAAGAAGCATGTGCTGATAAGCTACACACATGCCAAACACTCTCATCACCACCTTATATGAGACACAGACAGTGAATCATGCCCAGTAAACCACAGATGCAAAATATCAATTTCGGTCACTCGTGAACGGCATCAAAGGCACACAACAACACAGGCAGTTACTTGTGACACTGCTGAAGTACAAATCTGAATTGTACAGGTGAAGAAGGTGACAATATACAGCAGTCACTTAGCTGATGAGTGAGAACACTGGAGTTTCCTTCTCGAATCTTTTACTTTCATGCTGCTTCATCAGTAGAGAATGGTCTACTGTTTACAAATGTAGGTTTGAATTCTAGGTCCACCTCTGTGCGACCCTAAGCAAGTTATTTAACCCCCTGAACTTTGATTTCATCATCTGGAAATTGGAAACAATAATAGTCACTGCTTCATAAGCTATTTTTTTTTAAAGATTTTATTTATTTATTTGAGAGAGAATGAAAGATAGAGAGCACGAGAGGGAAGAGGGTCAGAGGGAGAAGCAGACTCCCTGCTGAGCAAGGAGACCAATGTGGGACTCGATCCCGGGACTCCAGGATCATGACCTGAGCCGAAGGCAGTTAATTAACCAACTGAGCCACCCAGGCGCCCGCTTCACAAGGTATTTTTGAGAATGAATAAATACCTATAAGTATACTGAGAACATAAAAATCACTCAATAAAGGTTAGTTATTACTACTGCTACTGACCTATTCACAGAAATGCTTATGAAGTATGGCACCCTCTCATGTAAAAATTCTCAATGTTTCAAGATACAACTTTCAGGTCCTTCTAGAGAATCTTTTATGATTACCTCCATCTGAGGAAGGTGAAGCTCAAAAACATGAAGATGCCACAGGGCACACAGCTCAAAGTGGCTGAATCAGAATTTAAACTCATACATGACACTAGTGTGACTCTGTCTTGTCATCAGGGTCAGTCCTTCCAAGTCAGGAAGTGCACCTTATTCCTTTCATCATTTCGGTTTCTGGAACAGGGTAAGAAGCTATCTCAGTGGTTTCTGAATGGAAGGAAAGCAGCGTGGAAAGAGGAGAACGAAGGGAGGAAGAATGAGAAAGCAGGTAAGAGACTCTAATTCCACCACCAGGTAGAAACTAGAACCTCCATGAGAAGTAACAAAAATGACAGTTGATGACTAGAGCTCTTGCAAAGTCCCAAGCACCGTGCACACATGGCCTTAACCTTTCTAAGCAATTATAGACGGTGCTTCTTAGTATCCCCATTTTGTAGATGAGAAAACTTAAAGAGAAAGCAAGGTCAGATACTTGTCCAGTTACTCAGCAGTAAGTGGCTCCAGGCTGGCTTTACCTGCAATGCTGGGGGGCTGAAAAACTGATTTATCTATGACAGAAAGAACATGGGGGACAACTGAAACATCCTGAATCTGCTCATGTGAATAGCAAGAATAATTTACACAAAACACAAACATCCAAATTATGGGGAAAGCACACACATGCACACACACACACAAACACCTCTCAGGAGACTCAAACATAAGGAATCATTTTTCATAATTCTGTTCTTGCTTTCTATTAACTCCTTAATTAGAATATAGCTAGTACCACTAGGCTTCCTTGGTGACTAGTAGCAACTCCTGAAGTGTAAGCAAAGGAGGCTTTAAAACAAAGCAAAGTGACAAAATGAACAATGTAAGCTACAAAAATACCTGGACTATAAATGTTTAAATATCCAGTTACTTTGTCCAGTGTTCCCAATGAATACAAAAGCAGCTTACACCTAAATTGTACCTGCGGCATAAACACAATAAATAGGATACAAAGGCAATATCCCATCTCCCCTCTAGAAGATTTTCTGACATTCATTCTAATAGGAAACTCCAAATCAATATATCAAGCTGGAGAGCTGTCAAGACATGAAAGCAAATGTCTTTCTTAAAACACTCTTCAGTCAGGAAATTTCTCAGAAGTAAGAGCAGGATAGCAGGTTTGGTTGCAGATTTTCAAACTCATCAGATGATGTGCAAATATACTGTCAGCAAAAATACTGCTAACTGAGCACCACAGAAAATTAAAGCTCTATTTATTATTTCAAGTCAATTGAAATAATTCATTAGCATTTGAGGGACTGCAAGAAAAGGTTTTGTTGTATTACATTAATTTGCCTGGATTAAATAAGTAGCTAAAACACACACATATACACAGAGTCAAAGCTATAATGACTTGGCCTTAGAAGAGATACAAGAAGAGCAAGTTTCATAGTGCTCTGGACTCCCCCACCACTGAACACTTAATTGAAAATGTGCTTCAGGGGAGGCAGTTCATGATTTAAGGCATTTGAGAAAAAAATGAAAATATTTTTAGTAACTCTAATTAATCTCCACAACTTTAAAAAGCTTTGAGCTCAAAAATTACAGGAATGATATTATGAAATAGAATTTTCCAGTAATTTAACAATCTCCTTATATATACTTGTTTAAGATGCTATAAGACATGATAATCATGAAGAAATTATTTCCAAACAATGATATTCAAGGTAACAGTAATACTACTTTGTTCAAGTCTAATAAATTTATCTGATAAGCAGAGCTTTAATTTTTAGTAAAACTATAGTAAAAACCCACATGAAAACATGAGAATATGTCTAATAACTTTTATCTCCTAAGATACATCTGACTCAAAACCCTCAAAAAACACAGGACAAAGACACCGAGAAACCTGTAACAGGACCCCATTGTCCAAAGGTACCAGGAGTTAAAAAAAAAAAAAAAAGAAAAAGAAGAAGAGGAAGAGAAAGAAGAGGAAGAAGAAGAAGAAGAAGAAGAGAGAAAGACAATTCTAGTGAAAATTTATCAAAAACCACAGATGGAAAGAAGTTGGCTACACCTGTCCTACTCCCAATTCCAAACATTTCCCGGGTTAAGAGTGAAGAAAAGAGATTATATGGAAGGCACCAAGCATACTGCTAATAACCAAGCTACCCGCTTCATTTAGGGCACTGAGGTCCAGAGTTCGAGGCAACAGGAAGTCTACCGCCCACTTGTGAGGTAAGGTTCAGGACACTGGGAGACACACACTGTCCTCCCAGCACAAAGTAGATAATGACACGTTTGGGGTGGTACTTACCGGACTTGTATATACTTAGGCAGAAGAACTTGAGCAATGTTAAGATATCCTTAGTAATTAAACTCTAAACAAGAAATTCCTGTCATTCCTTTTAATAAAATAGTATCAACATAATTAAAGAATATTCTGTAGTAAGCATAAAAAAATAAACTATTATCAATATGTACAGCTATTTCTAAATCTATGCAACTGAGACAAAATACAGAAATAAACTGTACATCAAAACTGAGGGAGATCCGAAACTCTAATCCACAATCCCCCATTTGGTTTTATCCAATAAAATTTACTGATATTATTTCTTTTAATGACATAACTGGGAACTTACAAAATAAATTTATGATAAAATGTCAGCTTTATTTTTTCTTTGGGTTTCTACTAAAGGTTTCCTTTGAAAAATGGGGCAGAGAGTCAGATCTACTGCTAATGGATTAAATGACCAAAGGTACTCTTTAATTCAAAAAACTACCAAGGAACTACACTAGTGATTCAATGCAAAGTAAGTTAATACTAAGTTAATAATGCAACATTAAATAGAAACTCACCTTGCAAAGGCAGGATCTTTACCCCAAATTCTTCAAGACATCCAAGGGCTTGGATAAGATCTAGCTCCTCCTGAATGGCAGCCGGTCTATCAGTTATCAGCTGTAAGCAGCACCTAGGGGAAATAAGATCAGCTTAAAAAAAAAGAAGAAGTAACATATGTTTGGCTAAGTTGCCTTTCTGTATTCAACAACATGAGATCCAACACATATTTATCAAAAGCCTCCTACATTCCAGGTATCCTGCTAGATGCTTTCTGCTATCTTACTTAATCCTCATAGCAAGCCTGTATGATAGGCAAATAGCATCACCTGTTTCCTAAGGAAGCCAAAATCAAAGCTCAGAGAGGTGTAGTGATCTGTGCAGGGTTGTACCGATAGTAGGGAATGGTATCACATTACAAAGCAAAATATGTGAGCTCTGCCTTCAGAGGTAATAATCATACAGGAAAGGTTTAAAAAGAGAGACAGAATTCAGAAGATTTCCAGTTACTCTTCAGGGACAGCAAACATCTCGTTTCGGTGACAACTTCGACTCCCAAAGGAAAAACGAATAGGCTGAGACACTGCACAAAGGACATTTTTCTGATCATAAGGAAAGAGTCCGTTGGTAATGCAGTGCTGAGATGAATACAGGAGAAAGTGACTTTACTAATAAGAATCTGTAACACCTATGGAGTATTTTAAGCACATTTAAAAAAATCCAGACAAAGTGTACTTAAGAAATCTTTTCATTAACAAACTTACTTTCTGAAAGGTGAATGTGGAGGTATACTGGGACACAGGACTGGAAAGAGGCAGAGATCAGGCCAGGAAGGGCTAATGGTGCTAAAATCATGTATCGTCTGATGAAGATCCCTCGGCCCCAGGATGCATCTGTATGACTCAGTGATGGATGTGAGCCTACCTTACTTGCAAAATTGTAAAATTTAAACAAGATGAGCCCTAACATATACTGCTGATTCAAGTGTAACAAGGGACAGAGCCTACGTGCGGTATCTACTAAAATTCTACTGCATTACCTTCAAACTCACGAATTCTGAGTTCTAGCAATTTGTACTACAGACAGGCTCGCACATGCCCACATACCCACACATAATTAGGAATGTTCACTACCACAGTGTTTTTAAAATACAACAGAATGAATTTTTATCATGAATTAAATAAATTCTAGAAAGTCAACAATGGAATATTCTACAACCATCAAAAGAAGAATAGATCAAGCCTACATGCCCTCATGAAAAAACCTTCAGTATAGATCATAAGTGAAAATAATGAGATCCAGAAAGGTATGTATAAGTAGTAAGCACTCATTTGTGACTTAAGAAAGAAGCGGGTAACGTATAAGAAAGTATTTTGGAAGGATTCACAGGAAAATGATTTAAAAAGATAGCTGAGGGATAAAGTTAAGGGAATGGGAATGAAAAGAGAATTATTGTAAATACATATCCTTTTTTGTATTGTTTAATATTTTTATCTTGTGAATGTATTACTTCCTCAATTAAAAAAACTAGTTCATAATAATTTAATCAGTAAGAATGTATGGGCTATTTTCTATGTTAAATATAACTGTGAACATTTAAATATATCCAGGCTCACAGATCATCATCAGTCTAGTGTCACCTTATACACATACAACATCTTTTCCAAATTAAGGTGTGTCCTTGTGGGGGAGAAAAAGGGAAATACTGGAAGTGTAGATTTAAAAATGATCTGTGAGAACACCTGCCAAAAAGATTTAGGTCAAACACAACTCCCAGTTTCAAAAGCTACTCTGTTTGATATTTTCATCATCTGAAGTAGAAATACAATCCCTTAGGAGAGAAGAAAAAAAATTTACTACTTTTAACAACTCTGTCAAGTTCAATAACATGATTTGAGAAAATATGGCTCTCTCTGTAATAAGATATCACTGGGGAAAAAAGTTTCCTTTAAGCTTTTCGCTGCTAGTCATTCGGGGGGAAAAAATAAATCTAAATAGCTAAATCACTACATCAAAATAAATTCCAAATGGGCCTAAAATTTCAATGTGAAACTATAACTATCAAAGTAATAAAAAACAGTATGAAAAACTATTATAAAGGTCTTGGGAATTAAAGGTCTTTCAAAGGATGACACACAAGACAGAAATTATAAAAGAAAATAACAATTAAAATCTTTAAAGATTTTGAATAGCAACTTAAAAGATAAATCATATATATATAAAAACTTGACAACATGGTTAAAACATGTGAGAGAGGAAAAGGGCAACGTCCTTTATGCACAAAAAGCTCATAAGAACCAATAGTCAAAAGAGGCGCCTGGGTGACTCAGTCAGTCGAGCATCCAACTCTTGGTTTAGGCTCAGGTCATGATTTCAGGGTCATGGGATCAAGCCCAGCATCAGGCTCTGTGCTCAGCAGGGAGTCTGCTCAAGGATTCTCAATCTCTCTCCCTTTCTCTCTACCCCCCTCCTTGGCCCCTCCCCCCACACTTGGACACACACTCTCTCAAATAAATATATCTTAAAAAAAAAAGAATAAGAAGATCAACACTAAATTTCCAGTACAACAGGCCAAGAGAGAAACTGAATTCACAGTCCAGAAATTTTCACCTGAAAAGGATTTCAAATCTTTATCATCTAATTAGGTCCCTCCTCCCTAAACAGAGCACAAGTCATGTAAAGCATACAGCCATTGCCTCAATGTGCTACAAATTCCCAGAACTTGAATTTGCAGGCCAGCTCATGAATCCTTCATAACAGAAGCAATGTACAATCTTACAGATAATCAGCAAGAAAGACTGGGAAAGCATGCTGGAGAACAGGGGTCATGGGAAAGTTGATGAATATTCATGACGTAATTATCTTTCTGTATTCAAGCAATAAATAACTGTGCCCCATACAGTATAGTCAATCTGCACTTGTGGCAATATATTTGTAAAGGAAAGAATAAAACCAACAATGGAGTTTGTGTAGTCTGACTTGTCCCCTCCCTCTTCTGGAAGAATACAGAATTACTCCACCTGGCCAGATCCATGCAGCTATCAGTGAGGTTGGTAGATGAATTAAAGTACTCTCTGCTGGCAGCCAAAACCAAGTCAATACTTCTTTCATAACTGACCCTGTACTGGGTTTTCCCTTTATGGGCTACACTAGCTGGTGGGTTTATTGAACAGGCGCTGCAGTGCATCATCTGCCCAGCTAAGTGGATATTTTCAAGGCGACTGGAACACAAAAGGCTTTCTGTAAATATCTGGGGAAAAGAAGAAACTTTAATTAGTTAAAGAGGGCAGATTCAGTTCTCAACAAAATGAAGACTCTGATATCCAAATGAAATAAATTAAAAATACATCCATCCTACAGGTAGCAGGTGCACGACCCTGTAAATGCACTAAATGACAATGAAGTACACTGTAAGTAGTTAATTTTATGTTATGTGAATTTCACCTCAATAACCAAATTCATCTTTTAGGAAGAAGTAACTTAACAGAACAAACTAATATGAAGCCTAATACAGTTGACCCTTGAACAGCACAGGAGTTAGGGGTGCTGAACTCACATGCAGTCAAAACTCCCCATATAACTTTTGACTCCCCCAAAACTTAACTACTAATAGTCCACTGTTGACCAGGAGCCTCACCAATAATATGGACAGGCAATTAACACATTATTTTGTATTTGCTGTATTCTATAACTGTATTCTTACAATAAGGTGAGCTGGAGAAAATACTAAAATCATAAAGAAGAGAAAATACATTTAATATTGTACTTATCAAAAAAACAAACAAACAAACCCACATATAAGTAGACCTATGTGGTTCGCACCCATGTTGTTCAAGGATCAACTGTATCTTAATGTGTTACAAGGAATGTCTGAGTCAAACTATCTGAAATTCATACTCGTTAAAAACAGGATTCTGTCCCATACTCAATAGGGTCCACTCTGCTTAAACTATAACCATTGAATTTTTTAAAGAATATCTTTGAATACGACACATAAAACTTCTAACTGCTTAAAGCATCTGAATTCAGTCTTACAGACTAAACAGCCAAGCTATAAATGCAACATTGATTTTTTTCCAATCTGCAGACTAAAAACTATTTAAATAAAACAAGAGCCACTGATGGAAGGTATTCGTGCAAATATCATTGTATTCTACTAGCAACTAATAGCATCAATTAACATAAAATTTATTGTATAACTGAGAATATTTAGTTATTACTTAGTCTAGAAAAGTCTTAAACAAAGAGATCCTTTAAATATACACTAATAATGTCAATATGTAATTAGTATAAGAACTTCCCCACGAATGTTCACCCCTATTAGGCTTCTGCTGGATGAGGATAGCACAGAAATAGAAGCGAGAGATGAAAAGCAGATTTCATGAAGAATCAAGAATCTTCTTACAATTAAGACTACCCAGTTTTCATAGGATCCCCTTATTTTCACTACTTTCTAGGCTTCTGGGGAAGGTAGTTATTTTTAGACAGGCCTTCATTAAAATGACTATGATGAGAATAAAATTACTAATAATCTACAAGCGATCTGCTACAAAATACCTATTGTGACAGAAAGCAAATTACTAATGAGCAACCCTAATCATTTATATCTGACAGGTGAAAATGGCTTACTCCAAGTGACCCAAATGACTCAGATATGACGGTTTCTCTATTCCTTTGGTTTATTCAAGTAAGCCATAGTTAATGCCCGGTATTGAGAAATACAACTCACTCACTCTAAAATTTAAGTTTTTGCTAAAATGAACAATATAGATTTCTGCTCTACATGCTGTAATGAAACCTTGAACTTTCTCAAAATTGTGTCATTGAGCTTTCAAATCATTTTTCAAGATAGCAACCCCTAATAGCCAAAAGTCAGTAAAACAACATAGCATAACTTAAAAGTTACTAAAATGATATTTAAAATGTAAGTTTGAAAAAAAATGTAAGTTTGCCAAATCCATATTACCTTCCTCTAGAACCATTTCAAGCTGTTATGATATGCTTTCAAATGTTTCTCGAAGGAGAGAGGCTAATGGCCAGAAGTCATTAAAATATCAAAGCCTAATAAAAAGGTGTTAAAATGTAACAAAATCAATTTAATATGTCAGGTTGTTATAAGCTAGTTCAAGTGTAATATATTTATGCCAATTTTCCAATCAGAATCAGAAACAGTAAATAGCAAAATAATGCCATTCCAACTTAAAAACACTACTGCAGACATATAAATGATGGTTAGGCTCTGGAGCCCATGTGAATATAGATGTTCTCCTGGAATTGGAATTCAAGTTTCACTTTAGACACAAAAGGGGAAGTTACTGGCAGTTGTATGTACATGGTCTGAGACTATAAGCATCAATGTAAACTTCACACTCATTCATTAAAACCTGAAGTCCGAATATAAAACCATTTCTCAACAGTCTATATTAGCACTCTTTTGTTAAAATCACCTTGAATAAAAATACCAACCAATTTCACAAAATAGAGACCTATTTTTATAACTCATTTTATCAAGGGGTCACGCTTTGCGATGTCAGAGCAGAGCAACGTAAGAAATATCCTATAGAATTTCATGTTTGGCTTATGGACAGAAAAACTCAAAATGGAAACCTGCGTTTAAATTATATCTCATTAAAAATTGGTTAGTTGGATAATTTTTCCACATGAGCTAGGAGTAATTTGGTAAGACATATACCTTCCAAAAATATTAATTAAATCCCCCTGGGTTACACTCCTCCATCAATTAGCAGCCATTTCTTAAGTATCCTTTGTGTTCCGGGCATTACAATATACACTGGGGGATAGGAGGCTGAACATGAATATGATAATGCCTACCTAGGGGCTCATGACCAGAGGGAAAAATCACACATGGAAACCAGTTACTGCATTTGAAAGAAAGACTATAATAGAGACAAGTTACATAAAGGACAAAGGCAGGCATCCTGGAGGGCATAATTAGTGAAGTGAGTGCTGAAAATTACCAGGAATTTTCAGATCAAGGAAAGAGGACTAGATCCAAGCACAGGGAACAATGCAGATGGAGTCACGGGACGTGAAGCAGCATGGTGCGCGGAGAGTCAGGGCAGATCTGGTTGACATGGTGGAGCAGGGGGGACACTGTGTCCCCTGTACTTACAGAGTGGCACGGGGGAGAGTGGACACGGAAGCTCGATCTGCTGTGGCCTTCTATGCCATGCTAAGAAGTATGGTTACTTTCTGATACAGACATGTAACAAGCAGCAAATTTAAGAAGGGGAGTGTTACAAAAAGGTGTTTTAGAAGAATGCTCTGAATCAGTGTAGATTGGAAATATGGAAGCAGGGAGACAAGTTAGGAGGAATTGCAATTTAGCAGAGATAGGACAGATTTGAAAGACCTTTCCCAGCTACATCAATCAAATAGGCATTAGTGACCACCAAGACTATGGTAGTGAGAGGAGTCCAGGAGGAGTCTGTTTCCTAGCTGAGGATTAGCTTGCCGAATAACCTCTGTTGCAGTGAACGAAGATTGGGGCGGGGGGTGGGGAGACAGGAGGTGAGATATGCGAGTGCTCAACTTAGAAAGCACTACTCTATTCAATTCACCGCTATGACTCAATAGTATTACGTATAAGTGAGGCTTATGGTCACCATCTCTGTGTCCAGGAAACACACTGCAACAGCCAAACTTCCCAAATTAAAAACAAGTAACCTTCTATGCATCGAGTTACCTCATAGCAAGCATCAGAATCCAGACAGGTGTAAACATTCTGCTGCATAGTTAACATGTCTTGCAGCAACATTCTCCAATGAGACTCACTGACAGGAGGCTGCCTGGTGGGGAGACAAGAAAATAACTCATGAAATTGCTCTTCAATTGGCCAAAAAAAAATGGTATCACCATTCTATATGCCACACAGCTCCCAAATGATCAATAGGAAGAATCTCATTTGAATTCCCAGGAAAAAACATCGATCAGAGGGAAAAGTTGAAGGGCTCTGTATCAATGCTAGAGATGCTGCCTGAGCCACCTCGGCCACAGAACTAGAACAGCATTACCGTGGTAATAGCAAAGGTAAACCGAGTGTGAGTTTCCAAGATAAAATAAAGCACAGTAAGATAAAGCAACTGTGATCTAGCAGGAAAAGCACTTGGAGACAGAACTGGTTTCAAATCCATCTTTATTACACTGCAATCCCCACAGGGGATCTTCTTAACTCCAACTACACGTGCAGACCTGGAAGGCAACTAGAGCCCCCCCCTGACATCAGTCGAGAGGCTGGGGACCCCAGCTCATCTGCAAGGCAGCGCTAGTGGCTCTCCTCAGTGGGAGTCCTTGCAAGAGTCCGCAGAGCGACTGACCAAGTGCCGTAGGGGTTATGTTCATCCCACGGGACAGCCCAGGTGCCAGAAGACAGAGTCCTACAGGGGAGTGGCAAAAGCTGCCCCATCTAATTCAGGAAGGAGTTTCATGCCCCTCCAAGAACCAATATCGTTTGTAACAATTCCATAGGCACAGTTCTCAGGGTCTCCTCAAAGACATGCCAGTGACCACACTCAGGAAAGCCCAAAGCATAAAGCCCCTATCAGGCTTTCCAGTTCATTTCCAGTTCAGAAGCAATTTACCAACCAGGGATCAGGTTTACACAACCAATGAGGCATACACAGTCTTGTTGATCAAATAGCATTTTACATTGGGATCCAGGGTTACAGAGTTAGAGGATTAATGGTTCAGATTCTCCTGCAGCAGGGAAAGGGTTTTGTTAACAAATTCACTGACAGACACATACTAGCTGCATGATCGTGAACACTTAATATTCCTGAATTTCAGTTTCCTCACTTAAAGCCCATCTTGGAGAGTGATAAGAAATGGAGGAGATTAATTCTGATAAAGCACAGGCATTGAAGCAAGATGTTCCTAAGTATAAAAACAAGCTCAATTACCTGTACAGCTCTGAATATGTCTCTTAATTTCTCCGAGCTAGATTCCCTTTTTGTACGTTGTGAGAATTAACTAAAACTAGAATGTATGAAAAGACACCCCCCCCCCATTTTTCTGGTATAAAATAGTATTCAATAAATGTTAATGACGAATCTGAAAGTTACAAACACATTTCTTTGGTTTCTATAGTTACACAGATGATTACTAATATTGTTTAGCAGAAGGGAGAAAGTGCTGTAATTCTTTCTGCTTCCCCCAAAAGTTCACCTTTGTTGACTATATATGAATTTGGAATCATTATTTATGTTTACTTGCTAATCTTGATGTTCTACATAATCCTGAATATCACTGTTTGAAAGGGCAGATTTTATTTTGTTTTGTGCTTGTCAAATACCAACTGTCAAATAACAACTGGATGCTTCCTTCCCATGTACCTTTCCCTCATTTATGCATTAAAAACAGGGCACATAGACTGTAAGCATATAGTAGTATTGCCAAGGGAAAAGCATGTATTTGAGATCATTCCTATGAAATTTCTAGTCTTCAGGAACTTTTTCACCTAAAATTTTTAATAAGCATATGCTTCATTTACTTATAGTATTTTATATTACACAAAATGAATAATTACTTCTATCCTTATGCAATAAAGCATAAGAGAATACATTTTTTCCTCAGCATACAAACAGAAAAAACAAACTGACATATTTTCATGTCTTCCAGGACAATCCCTGAAGTGTGTCCATTAGTTAGACCTTGATATGTGAACTCTTTGGGTGAACTTCAAAGAACTGGAGGGTTCTTTCAGATTTGGCTTGCAGGTAAGTTAAGTTGCAAAATGTTTGATGAAGTGAGTGTCCATCTTGCACCAGCTGGATAAAATCAAACCTAGGCATTGTCTAGCTGAATTCAAATTCTCATAGCCCAGCTGTTCTTCTGGAAGCCATCAACACTGGGACAGATGGTATTAATGTTTTCTCACACATGGCTAGCCGTTAAGTACAGGTTCTAATTAAAATAAATTATAAGACATTACTTACAATGGCCTTTTCAGAATACATTCAGTAAATAGGAACCAAGAGTAGAACCTGAAGGCACTATACTAGAGAATTGCAAATTAACAGAGAGATCCCTAAATATAAACATGATGTATTAGTTACAGCCTTGGAACAGAGGTATATTTTCCAAGGAGAAACAGTATTGCACTCATGATGGTAAAACTTGGTTTGGCAGATTCAATTAAATCTCCTACCATTTAGAATATCCATAAGAATATTCCATAGATGCTGAAGGCCAAACCATGGTAGCATATATGAAAAAATTAAGATTTACTTCAAATTAACTAGTTTGAAAAAAAGAGGCCATATTCTCTTACATATTCAGAGTAGAACACCATGAGCAGAGATTAACTTCAAAGGCTTCAGAAGTATTTGAGGAACTCAAGGAAAACACAGGAAGTAATCTAGCTGTAACAGCAAGGCTTTCTTGAAGAGTAGGTTCTAGAATACAGTCAGCATGATCAGAAATATCGACCCATTTGTTTCTAGTTGTAAAAAAAATCTTAAGAGTTGAGTTGCCAAAACCTTTTAAATTATTCATTTAATAATTATTGAGAGAGGGCCATTGATATATATGGTCCCATATTAGATGTATGGGAACTATAACACTTGTCCTGGAGAAGCTTACGATCTCGAAAGGAACATAAGGCACAGACATTAATAATTATAGTACACTGTTGAAAAAGACAGATAGGGAGAGGCAGATACAAAATGCCAGGGAATTTCTTAGGAAGGAGAGGTCCTTGAGCGAGCCACTCCTAGTTGCATTCCATAAGCAGTTTACTACTGTTGACTGGGCTCAGGATTCCCGGAGCCCTCTAGGTGGTGCATGTTTAGCTCTAGTAGGGCTTGGGAAGTAGAGCTGTCTCTATTTGCAATGACATGGTATGGTATACAGAAAATCCTACGGAATGTCCACAAAAACAAAAACAAAAACAAACCCTACTGGAACTAATACAGATTGGAAGACACAAGCTCAACATATACCAAAATCAAAGATAATATATCAACATTTGTACACACTAGGAATGAACAATCCAAAAATGAAATTAAGAAAATAACTATCTACGATAAAAAAAAAATCCCAGGAATATTTTATAGTACACAAATATCCATAGCTTTATCTATAAAAACCAAAACTCAAAACAACCCAAAATGTCCATAAACAGGTGAATAGGTCAACAAAGTGTGATAAATCCATAAAGTGGAATACTACTCGATAAATAAAATGGAATTATTATTGACCCATGATACAAAATGGATGAATGACAAAATAAGTATGCTGAGTAGGAGAAGCCAAACAAACAAAAAGTGTATACTGGATGATTCCATTTACATAAAATTATAGGAAATAGAGAGTAATATATAGGAATAGAAATATAGATCAGTAGTAGTCTGGAGAGGGGATAAGGGGGTGATGAGGAGAAGCAAAAGGGAGGGGAACATAAAGAGGCAAGAAGCTTTTAAGGGTGACATATTTATTACCTCGATTGCAAAATGGTTTCATGAGTATCTACATATATCAAAACTTATCAAATTCTACACTTGAAACATAGAATTTATTGTTGGTCAATTATAACTCAATGAAGTAAATAAAAAGAACAGTACTTTATTTTTAATCATATATAAGTATCAATTAATTTTGTTCATTACTTACTTCCGACCAGTGTGCCTGGTCAACCTAACCATCAGCTTGCGTGCCTCTTCTGAGCTAGACTGAGTGTTCTTAACAAACGAAACTGGTTTCTCAAGTCCATGTTTCTCCAAGAGCTCCGACACGCTAAAAGTGAGAGAGGAATTTTTTAAAGTCTTGCTACCAAACAAAAAAAGCCTAAGAGTCTTGAACATACAAGTAGCACTTAGGTGTTTAGAACTAAAACCAAAAAGTAGCATATAGAATGACCCAATTTTACATAGTGCATTAATTCTCAGCAAAAAAAAAAAAAAGCTAACAATTATATATCAAATCTTATTTCCTGTACTTTTATTACAAAACCCATTTTGTTTAAAGTATGACATATCTTTATCTAAAAATATTTTTTTATTATTTTCCTCTACTCTAAAAGCATCAAATCAGTAAAACAAGCCAAATCTATCATTTCAATACTCAGCTTTAACTCTGAACAATCCTACTGAGTAATCTGTTACAGGCAAGGTCGTTAGAAAAGCAATAAAGAATTTTAGAGTTGGAGCCAGAGAAACATCACAAGGCTCAATATCCCTCCAGAATCTATTATATAAAAATACAGAATATGTCACAAATTTTGTCCCATATGAATCTTCTTGAGATATCTCATTCCCTAATCATCAGCATCATACATATATGATGGTTAGCCTCACCAAATCTCACATTTTTGAAATAACTACTACTGGGTTTATAGAGTGTGACTGGCTAGAATTCAGTAGCTTGTCATGAAGACAGGTTTCATGGGTCATGTCACCCGACATCGTGTATGCTAAAACATTTTTCAACGATTAGTAGCTATGAGGTGGAACAGAAATAAAAATTCTTACTTTAAAAGGTCAGTAACTTAAACTAAACAGGGAAAGACATGGGTATCATCCAGAAACTGACCGAGTATAACTGTTTCCTTGAGGTAGTAAGAGCATAATGTGACATCAGGACCACTCATGGTTACACCCAGGAACATACCGTGAAATATACTGTTTATTTCACCATATCTTTTTGAGATCACTCTTCTCAGTTTCATTAGAGGAAAAAAAGGTAATCATGCAAATTGTAAGGAATGAATCTATATTGACTTAATCCACTAAGTTTTACTCAAACTATGTTCAACTTCTCAGGGAAACTGGGGAAAGGAGAGACACAGCCAAACTAAAATAACCAAAGCTTGAAAAGAAAGAAAGAGCTTGATTTACTAAGAATTTTTCAAGGGGAAAAAAAACCCAACCATATAGCTTTCAGGACACAAAGTAACAAGCAGCAAGGTAGTAATAAAAAGAGGAAACAGAGGGGGGCGCCTGGGTGGCTCAGTTGGTTAAGCGGCTGCCTTCGGCTCAGGTCGTGATCCCAGAGTCCTGGGATCGAGCCCTGCATCGGGCTCCCTGCTCGGCAGGGAGCCTGCTTCTCCCTCTCTCTCTGCCTACTTGTTCTCTCTCTCTATCTCTCTGTCAAATAAATAAATAAAATCTTTAAAAAAAAAAAAAAAAAGAGGAAACAGAGGTCCCAAGGAAAAGTGAACAATCAATTCTTCATTCAACTCCCATACATACCTGGCACAAGAACACTGTTTCCTTAAATACAACTTGAAATATTTTTATACTCAAGTCCCTTAAATTGAATGAATAAAACTTCTAATTAGTAGACTCCAAATTATTATACTTTACTATTCATATCATCACTATAAAGTGATGGCATTACCTATAATTCTATAATTATGTGTTGGAAAAAATTTGTTATCCCTAAAATTTTTTTTAATACAGATATTTAAAATTACTCAAGCATCTTCATATACACATATAAATACTAGTATACAACATCTGACTTCCTAAATGGCAAATTGGGAATTTCAGGCTCCAAGATAGAAAGTTTAATGCTTCATTTTGACAGTGAAGAATATTACTATAGAGTTACTTGAAGGCTCTACTGCAGTTTGATTGAATCCAGATTCCAATCAAATGTAATATGCCCAAAAAACGGAAGTCAGGAGTATAATAAATATTGTTTGCTGACAGACACAATAATTTCTGCAGGAACTAACATTTCTTGTGTACCTACTGCGGAGGAGGCACTTTAAATGGTTAATCTAACATTAATTCCATTATCTCACGGGTTAGATACTTTAAAGAAGAAAACCCGGGGTTCAATCACACAGCTTCTCAGTGGCAATGCCTACATTTGAACACAGGTCCACCAGTCTTCAAAATCCAGGCTCTTATTACTCTACCATAAGCTGGCAGGACATCTGTATTAAGAAAATTCACTCCCAAGAGAGTCAAACAAATAGGAAGTCAAACGGCAAATGACCATTAGACATATGAAAAGTAATGTTTCTGGACAGACCTCATCTATTAGCACAGAGCCAACAGACGAACATTTCTCTCACCTGAGAATTTGTTCCAGTTGGTCTACCATGTCATGAAGAGCATTTGTTACCTCTGTTTTATGACTAAAAGATTAAGAGAAAAAAAATAAAGTTTTAGTAGTAGCTTTTTACATAAAACACAATACTCAAGTGAAAAAAGAAATGATGTTTCCCTTATGGTTAATATACAACAATATTTCACTGCTGGGCAAAATTTTGGTCTTATTTCCTGAACGCTTTCAGCATCTTTCATGACTTAAGAACTTAAGATAAAAAATACTGGACTAGAAGAATATTATCTATTACTGATTAGTGTTATATGGACAACTATTTCCTGAAGAACTTTTAGTTCAATTCTACTAAAAGGCAACAAACAAAGCATTGGGGCGCCTGGGTGGCTCAGTTGGTTAAGCGACTGCCTTCAGCTCAGGTCATGATCCTGGAGTCCCGGGATCAAGTCCCACATCGGGCTCCCTGCTCAGCGGGGGGTCTGCTTCTCCCTCTGATCCTCTTCCCTCTCGTGCTCTCTGTCTCTCATTCTCTCTCTCTCAAATAAATAAATAAAATCTTAAAAAAAAAAAAGGCAACAAAGCATTATAAATCAATTTTAAGTCTTTTTTTTTTTTTTTTAAGAGGAGTTAAAGGGTAAAATCACCATCTGGTTCTGTTCTTTTAACCAATAAAACAAAACAGGTAAGGAAGCATGGCCCTGCATACTGGCTTGCTCCTAGGCCTGTCTATATCCCTTCCACACCCCCTAGGAAGTTTCCACTAGGATTCTATATACTCAGAAGACTTCTTCCATAATATCATTCCCTCTGCACCCACTCCAATATTAAGGAACCAAAAAGAAGCACAACCATTACCTAGATAATCCCTAGAAGGTGGTGGAGATAAAAAGCAAGCCCCTTCTGAGGAAGCATGTGGACAGGCGACTAGGAGAAACATTATCATGGCAAAGGATCATATACTAAATGAAAATGTGGCTGGTAGAGTAGATGTAGTATGACACAACACATGTATAAGTGAATGCAGGGATCTGTCACAAAGCTGAGACACTACTATAAAAGTCCCCTTCCATGCTATACAGCTCTGTGCCCCAACTATGGAGGGAATGCTTGCAGCGGAGAACAAATGCACCTGACGCTCCCGGGTGCCTTCCAGCCAATGATGCAACTGAACCCCAGCAAGATCTCAGGGTTTTATTAGTAAGATGCCCAAATAAAATCTTTGTCTGGACTTAGAAAATTAAAAATGGGGGCACCTGGGTGGCTCAGTTGTTAAGCGTTTGCCTTCGGCTCAGGTCATGATCCCAGGGTCCTGGGATCGAGCCCTGCATCGGGCTCCCTGCTCTGCGGGAAGCCTGCTTCTCCTTCTCCCACTCCCCCTGGTTATGTTCCCTCTCTCACTATGTCTCTCTCTGTCAAATAAATAAATGAAATCTTTAAAAAAAAAAAAAAAAGAATTTAAACAAGAAAATCAAAATAAATTTTAAAATTCAAAAGATGGATGAAAAGATAAAACTGAAGAAACTCCCAGATCATTTAACAGAAGATCAAAAAGTGGGAAAAAGAATAAAAAGGGCAGTAAATAAAGAAGTATAAAAAAATGGAGAAAGAAAAAGGAAGGGAGTACAAATAAAATTACCAAGGAAACTTACCAAGGAAAGAATATAAGAAAATTTCCCAAAGCTCTAAAGGGCAGGAATTTCCAGATTGGAACAGGCTATCCAAATGAATTAACACAACAAATTTAGTGTCACAATAAAACACATCCTTATGATATTTCAGAACATTAGAGATGAAGAGAAGGTACGGCAATATCCAAAAAGGAAGAAAAGCCATCTATAGTGATTTACAATGCTATAGAACTACTCGATAATCCTGGGAGGAGAGGACAAGACTGATGCCTTCAAAACTCACAAGGAAAAGATGATTATAAACGTAGAACTGCATACATAGCCAAGGTTTCTATCAAGTTCAAGGGAGCAATTCTGGTGTCTTTCTGACATGGGACAGTCTTAAAATAAAAATGCCTCCATGTAATCTTTGACATGAAGCTATTAAGATTGTGTTCCATCAAAATGAGAGAATAAGGGGCGCCTGGGTGGCTCAGTCGTTGGGCGTCTGCCTTCGGCTCAGGTCATGATCCCGGGGTCCTGGGATCGAGCCCCACATCGGGCTCCCTGCTCCACGGGAAGCCTGCTTCTCCCTCTCCCATTCCCCCTGCTTGTGTTCCCTCTCTCGCTGTGTCTCTCTCTGTCAAATAAGTAAATAAAGTCTTTAAAAAAAAAAAAAAAGAGAGAGAGAATAAGTGAACAAAGGAGAAAAGAAATTCCAGGAATGCAATATGTAACACAAGAGAGAGGCAAACCAAAGTCTCAGGATGGCAGTTGTGCAGAATATGGGACAATTAACCCACATCAAAGCAAGAGAAAAGATAATTCCAAGAAGGATGTTCCAAAAGGTAGAGAGGGAGAGAAGATGGGGAAAAAAGGGAAGGGACTGAGATATGTCTGACCACAGAAAAGAGTTTTCTATTTCCGTCAGAAGAGAGAAGGAGATAAATGGAAACAAATAAAACAACAAAACAGGAAAAGGAAATTTCCAAAAAAGGAAAAAAAAAAAATCTGGGAAAAACAAAAAGTTGCATACAAAAGAAATATAATCATACCCAGCTCTGTAGAAACAATATTTACATAACATAATGATGAAAATTACCTTAACTACACTGAAAAAATGGTAGAAGTAGGTATGGGAGATGGTAGACGTCATCATAGACTTCAAAAGGAAGTCAATAATCATGTAAAACTGCAGTCACAACATGAGCTGAAGGAAAACATGCTCTATGCAAGTGTTTCCTGTGAGGAGACAGGTATTCAAGCACGGGGAAGGTGGGGCAGCAAACAGCTGTTTATCAATTACAAGGTTTTCAATTCCCTCACTTTCATTATGTGCATACATCACTTTAGTTAAAAATTAGGAGAGAATTATGTCTCTTTGGACTCCTTGATTTTATTTTTTTTTTAATGTTTTTTTTTAATTTAAGTCATCTCTACACCCAACGTGGGGGTTCGAACTCACAACCCTGAGATTAACAGTTGCATGTTCTCCTGACTGAGCCAGCCAGACTGCTTGATTTTAGATCAGCACCTCCACCACACAGACTTTTCCAAGTGAAAAGACCAGCTGACTTAGAGTGTCTCACACTTTGCATTTATTTGACTGTTTCCTTCATGGTGTTATTTAACTTGTTCTCCTGTTCTCTGCACTCCCTGTAAACCTGAAGTTTGGCCCAAAGGACTGATTAGATTAACAATGAACAACTTGGGGCACCTGGGTGGCTCAGTCATTAAGCATCTGCCTTCGGCTCAGGTCATGATCCCAGGGTCCTGGGATTAAGCCCTGCATCGGTCTCCCTGCTCCGCAAGAAGCCTGCTTCTCCCTATCCCGCTCCCCCTGCTTGTATTCCCTCTCTCGCTGTCTCTCTGTCAAATAAATAAATAAAATCTTTAAAAAAAAAAAAAAGAAAGAACAACTTTACTTCATATTGGGATCTCAGCAGGAGGCATATAACAGATGCTGATTGTGCTAGCCCATTTGGTAGCTTGATTAAAGGTAATGACAGTCAGACTTCCACTTTATAAAGCTAGATTTGCCCTTTGAAATGACAAAAAAAAAATAAATGAAGTTGCTGAGGTAATACTTTGGTACCATGCAAATATCCTTTACCGATCAATCTTTCACCTGATTGCAGTACCATTAGTGACTGTATGAAACAATTATTTCACAATGGGGTGCAAAACTGGTGATGTCTACATTCATTTCACAAAAAAATAAAAATTTCCTCAGGAGGAAAAGAGAGAGGGGGCAGCATTAGTCACAGTAGCCAAGATGACTAGAAACAACCTAAGTGACCATCAAATTTATGAATTACAAAAATGTGCTATTTACATACACACAATGGAATAGGATTCAGCCATTAAAAAAAAAAAAAAAAAAAAAAGAAGGAAGGGGCGCCTGGGTGGCTCAGTCGTTAAGCGTCTGCCTTCGGCTCAGGTCATGGTCCCAGGGTCCTGGGATCGAGCCCCACATCGGGCTCCCTGCTCGGCGGGAAGCCTGCTTCTCCCCCTCTCACTCCCCCTGCTTGTGTTCCCTCTCTCGTTGTGTCTCTCTCTGTCAAATAAATGAATAAAATCTTTAAAAAAAAAAAAAAAGGAAGGAAATCCTGCCATTTATGACAACATGGACAGACTTCGAGGGCATTATACTAAGTGAAATAAGTCAGATAAAGAAAAATACTGTATGATGATATGATAATCTCACTTTAATGTGGAATCCTAAAAAACCCAAAACAACAACAACAATAAACTCATAGAAAAAGATCGGATTTGTGGTTACCAGAAGTGGGAGTGGGAGGCGTGGGAACTGGATAAAGGTGGTCAAAAGGTGTAAACTTCCAAGTCTAAGATAAGTAAATACAGGGGACGTGATGCACTGTAATGACTTAAAACACACAACATGTTCCAGTCAAGGAACAATTTGGGAAACCAACTGAAAACAACCAAAACACTGCTATATGTTACTTTTGAAAATTCTTATGAAAGTAAAAGATCTCATCACGATGATGGATGCTAACTAAACTGTGGGCGTTTCATGATATATTTATACGTATGTATGTCATTATGACAAACACCTCAAACTTATACAGTACTATGTGTTAATTATATCTCAATAAAACTGGAGGAAAAATAAAGTAAAATTATGTATATGCATACATTACTACTTAAACACAATTATTATTCTGTGTTTGGCAAGGGCCAAGAACAAATAATTCACAGAATCCCACGGGCTCATAAATATGAAAAACGCTTAATTAGAAACACAACTTAAAACAGAGACATCACTGTCTATCCACTAAAAACAAAGTATATTTTGTTGTGGTGGTGGTGATATTTTTGTTTTTTAATGGATTATTTACCAAGGTTGACAAAATTATAGTCACTGTTCATATACTGCTGGAAAAACAAAAGTTTATCTCTAGGCAACAGGTTTGCAGATGATTCCATTTTCTTCTCTGTGTATTTTTTATATTCCCAAAATTCTGTCTAATGAACACTCTGGCAACATTTTCGTTTTAGCTGTTAGGATGAAAAGACAACAATAAGATTGGCATGCTGTGGATTCTTACCTGTATCCTCTTTGTGGAAGACATTCTAAAATGTCATAGCAAAGAGATAGCTGGTCATTTCGTTCACAGTTGTAGATGCACCCCAGAGCTACTGCCATCAGGTGGTCCTGATCAGGAATAATTTTTTGCTGCAGCTAGAGAAAATAAAGCATGCTGTACTAAACGTCAGTAGATTTACATTCAGTTTTTCCCTAGCCCAGTGCAACTGTCAACAGAATATTAAATAGTGCAATTAATCAGCCTCAAAAACAAATCTTGATTTTTCTTTAGCTTACAGACTTTTGGGGTCTTTAATAATTCTAAGTGAAATCACATTTTAATTACAGAATCAGCTAGAAAAGATAATTTGTACCCATAAGCTTTGCATCTGCTAAAAACAGATTCTTCAATTTATGACCCATTCAGGATAAAGTAGATAGAAGAAACACAGTGAATTAAAAAGGCAATTCATTAAAAGCATTTCTAACCCAAAAGCCAAATTTTATGTGTTTCAATTACAAAAATATATAAAATTCCTTAACTAATATTCAGAGATGTTTAAACCTACTATTTTTCAGTATGCATTATATATTAGTCATGTAACTAAACAGTACTGACATTCTATTCGAAAGAAATCACATGGCTATGCAGTAATATTCAAATCACGGAACACACGCCGATGCAGAAAGCCGACTACTATGGGTCACTGTCTCTACAGGATACACACTTCCCATCACAAACCAGACTCTCTTTCTTATTTTCTGGGATATAAAAATACTGTATTTGTGCCTTGTTTTTCTCATCTCTACTTCTCATCTTACTGGATATTAACATCTTCCTAATATCACTGTTATGAAGATTAAATTAATACATGAAGAATGCTTCCATTATTGCCAAAGACACCAAAATGGAAAGTTGAAACGATATTCTTAGAGCCCTATTCAATGACAAAATAAGTTTAAAGTAATTTCCATAATAAAGATCAGTGGTTTTCAACATTTTAGTAGAAACTCACAAAACAGATAAGAAGCTTCTCTGTAAAAAAACCACATCAATGGATGGGAAGAAGAAACATTCAAGTTACAGGGAAGTGAAGTCTCCTGAAGCACTAGGGTTAAAGGAGTTATATACCTTTCTTCAAGGTGTTAAGAAAAAAATATACTGTTAATTTGACATCGACATCTGACAGAGTTATCCAAGGTTGCAAAGTGACAGACTGGTGAAACAGAGCACAGTAAAAGTAATTATTATTAAAAATTAATTAAAATCGCTAACTCTTCCTGATTTCTTATTGTGTGCCAGGTACTATTTCTATGTGCTTCACATGCATTCACTCTTAATTCCTCAAACCATCCGGGAAGGTTAATACTAGCTCCATCTCAGTTTTCCGTAAGGGGGCGCTGGGGCACCGACAGAACACATCACTTGCTCTGTGGAGGCTAATGCAGGCAGCCGGCTCCAGAGCCCACACTAAGGCTCTCTCGGTCCTGCAGGAAAACTTCACATACAGGAAGAATGGGAGAGATGGAGGAAAACTATAGTCATCAACAGCTCATATAGGAAAAGGAAAAAAACTGAAACCAGTTTCAGTGAAAAGGAATAAATTGGAAAGCCAAATGAAACAGAAGCCAAATTCCGTGACGGTTTCCTTGATTTCCCTGCTTCCTGTCTTTCGCTCCCACCAACATTCAAGTATCACTTGCAAGTTAAATGTACTAGAATCCACAACTGATCACGTATGCTTAAAATCTTCTACAATGGGAAAGGTAGAGAATAAGTTTTTTGCCTTCCACTCAAGTTCCTTCATGGCCTGGTGCCAACTCACCCTTCCTGTCCTCTGAACCACTATGCAAATTTTAGTTCACACAAATTAAATCACTTGCCTTTATGTAAACATGTTACTGCTCTTTTGTCTCCCCATCTTATTCTACTCCTACATGGACCTTCTTCTCAAAAACTTAGCCTTGCCCCATCTAAACCCTCCCTGATAATCCTGCTTTCTCTCTACTTGACTCTGACTTCAGTTGGGCTTTCCCAGATTTCTAGTCTCTTCCAAAAGCTCCATAAATGCTGGTCCAATGAACACATTCTCATACAACTCTTAAACATAAATCCTTTTTCCTCTCTGTATTCCTATGGCTTCTTTTTGTTCTCTTCCTGTGCCATTTAGCATACCTTTCTTAATACAATCTATTATGCACGTGAATCGTAACGCTTAAATTTTTAAGACACATTCTATTCTTGTTCTGTTCAACTCCCTACAAGATGCCTAACTTCATAAAGTGTTAAGACACACGTCCTCTCTTATTTCTATCATTCCTGTCCTAATACCTCAGTGGTAACTATTAAACCATCATTTGCCCCACCTCAAGCTGATAGAAGAGAGCCCCTCTAAAACTTTCTAGGAAGTCAGTAAGTCTTCCCCACCATGGGCAGCTGATTATTTTCCATACTGCATCGCAAGGTGAAATATAAGAAAGTTATAATTTGGTTCTTAAAAATGGTCTTAAAATTATGCACTACAGATAAGTAGCTAAAGAACAGATGGTAAGATATGATACCTGGAAAACCCCGGAGAATGAAGCAATACAAAAAATTAGTGAAGTGGCAGAATGCAAAAATAACATACAAAATGAACAGCTTTCATATACAGAAACAACAAACAGAGGGGTAAAAGTAGGGAGAACTCGATTTAAAATAGAAACAGAAAATTAAATGCTTAGGAATAAATTTAACAAGAAATGTGCATGACCTACATGAGGAACACTTTCAAACACTCCTGGAAGACAGTAAAAAAAGACATGAACAAACACAATGATACACCCTCTTCTTGAATAGGATGACTGAACATTATAAAGATACTGGTCTCACCAATTTATAAATTTAATATAATAACAGTAAATATACCAACAAGTTATTTTATGGAATTAGCCAAGTTGTTATGAAAGTTCAGATGGAGAAAGAAACATATAAGAATATCTTTTAAAAAACAAAAACAAAAAAACCTAGGGAAAAAAACTACAGAGGAATACTACCCTTACCAGACTTTAAAAACCCGTTATAAAATCTCTGTAATTAAAACAGTGTGCTCCTAGGGGCACCTGGGTGGCTCAGTCGGTTAAGCATCCAACTCCTGATTTCAGCTCAGGTCATGATTTCAGGGTCCTGAGATCAAGCCCCACATGGGGCTCTGCACTCAGCACAGAGTCTGCTTGTCCCTCTCCCTCCCCCTCCAGTTCTCCCCCTGCTTGCTTGCTTTCTCTCTCTAATAAATAAATAAATAAAATCTAAAAAATAAAATAAAATAAAATAGTGTGCTCCTAGTGTATGAACAAACCAGTAACAATATAAAAACTCTAGAATTAGACTAACCAACAAATGGAAATTTGGTAGATGACAAAGGTGGCATCTCAAATCACTCAAGAAAAGACAAAACTTTTAATATATGGTGCTGGGACAACTAAGTAGCCATCTGGCATCTCACCATACAAAAGAATGAGCTCCAAGTAGATTACTGATCTAAACATAAAAATAAAAGCATACAAGTACTGAAAGAAAATGAGTGAATTCTTCTTTAACCTTGGAGTAGGAAAAGGCTTTCTCACCATGACTCTAAATACAGAGGCAATAAAAGATTGCTCAATGTGACTACATATAAAAAGATAAAAATTCTGCCTGACACAAATCACCATAAACAAAGTCAAAAGACAGCCTACCAACTGGGAGAAATATACACAATACATACCACAAAAAAAAGGGCTAATTACACCAATATATCTGAATTTCTACAAAAGTAAATCACAAAGGAACAAAAGTCCAAGTGAAATGGAGGCTATCATACTAAACAGCACAGTTCTAGAGGCACCTTTCAATTCCCTAAGGAGTGTGGGCCCAAAGTAGACAAGCAGGAAATTGCAGGCAAGAGCTTAAACTGTTAAGTAGACTTTCCCATCCACGCCATTGCCGGCATATGGACCTAGGTCAGCACCCAAAGCTTCCAAACTCAGAGCCCTGGAGTACTGCACTAAAGGAACATGGGAGAACTGGGAGCAGGAGAGTCCTTTTGAAACTTGACAGGGTTCCATTCCTGATCAGATGAAAGTGACCTTCACCACTACGAGAACTGGAGAAACAGCAAACCAACAGTGGGAATTGTTTATAACACAGATCGAAAGGCTTTCTATCAGAATCACTGGATAAATTGTCAAATGCATATTCCAGGTCCATATCCTCCAAATTCTAATCCATTATATCTGGGGTGGGCCTAGAAAACTGTACTTTTTTTTTTTTTTTTTAAGTCCATAGTTCCCATACACGATGCATCCAAAAAAAAAAAAAAAATGCTAGTATGGAAGACCGAGAACAATATGAGAAGGCAGAATATTTTATTCCCAAATCACCTCCATCCAGACTTGCCCAAGTTCCTTCGTAAGTTCCACTTTCCAAAGGGCCATGCAAATAAAGAGCAACAGCTTAAAATCACAGATGAGTGCTTAAAATCAGGATGTCGTAAAGGAGAGGAAGAGTTTGAAGCATATGCTACCGTTAAAAAGGACAAATATGTGTCTGTATTATTGTTTCCAAGTATTCACTCCCTTCTTCCCAAGACAGGATTATGCTTCCTTGCCTCATTAACAACAGGCGGGGCTAGACTTCCTCTGGCCTGTGAAATGTGAGAGAGAGGATGTAACTTGAGGCATTTTGAGGTAAGCTTGAAGAGCCACTGTGTGGTTCTACTTTACCCTTTCTCCTGTGCCACAGCTTTAAAAGGGGGCCTGCTCCTTTAGCCAAGTCCTGGAATGAACAAGACATAGAACACAGCAGAAGCCTGACTATAGCCTATATGATGCTTGTGGGAAATGAATGTATGCTGTTCTAAACTACTGAGATTTAGTGATCACTTGTTAATGCAGCATAATTTAGCCTAAGCTGTCTGACATGGAAATCATTGCTCCTGTTATATTACTATAAACACTCTGTGCATGACTCATGGCAGATCTCAAGGTACTTTTTTTTTTTTTTAAAGATTTTATTTATTTATTTATTTATTTGAGAGAGAGAGAATGAGAGCGAGCGAGTACATGAGAGGGGGGAGGGTCAGAGGGAGAAGCAGACTCCCTGCTGAGCAGGGAGCCCGATGTGGGACTCGATCCAGGGACTCCAGGATCATGACCTGAGCCGAAGGCAGTCGCTTAACCAACTGAGCCACCCAGGCGCCCTCAAGGTACATTCTTTTTGTAAAGAGTAAAAAGTAAAATAAAATAAAAACAGTGCTCCAAGCACAATCCTAATAAAGCAAACAAATGTAATCAAGTGGTCTACAGCATCATAATGAAACCCAGTTTCAATCATTCACCCATCATTTGCCCTGACTAAATTTACTGAGCACTTGCTCTCTGCAAGGCACTGACTCCCAGGTGATACACAGATGAATGAGACATAGAGAACATACATAGGAAACAAAGGGAGGGAAAGAGAAACACATGAACATTAATTATGACACAGTGTGATATGGGTTATTACAAAGGCAAGGACAAGACCTATCATAGCACAGATAGGTCACAGGTCTCCTAGCAGAGGGAATCTAACACAGCAGGATCTTGAAGGACAGGCAGGTGTCTGTAAAGGGAAGGAAAGGGAAACTGACCATCCCAAACAAAGGAAATAGTCTACAAAAGCATAAAGAGGCATAAAAGGCTGGACAACATGAAGACAGGAGGAGCAGTTCAGTGTGAGTGGACTAGCACATTCACTCAGAGGGAAAAGAGGCTGAAGAGACAGACTGGAAACAGACCACAAAGAACCTTCTAGGCCACTCTAGAGAGCCCAATGTTTACCTTGTAGACACTGGTTTCCCATAGATCATGACATGATCAAATTTCCGTTGGGGAAAGATAATATTGATAGAGATAAAGAGGATAGATTGGAAAGGAAGAGCCCAGCAACACCACTGTTTTCTGCTTTGATGTTTACATATTTCAACAAAAGCAAATGGCAATATGTTTTATTCAAAAGGCACATGCTAAATTGCCAAGTAAAAACAACAAAAAGCTGACGACATACAAAGGATTTACAAGACTCTGTAAGGAAGAGAAGTATCACAAACAAGATTACTGGAAGGAATTTAAAGTCATTTCTTTCTTCCTCATAAAACATTCATATTCAATCCATCCTGCTGCTCACATAGTATTCTGCTGTCATAAGCAACCCACCCTCGGCTCACAGCAAACCATCCCAAATTCAAAATCGGAATGCTAAGTGGGAACTGCCTACGACAAGATGGAAAATTTTAAATAGCCAAAGAACAGATACATGTTTGACAAGCAGCCCTTTCAGAAACCAAAATATGTGTAAGGTTAACTAAGCAATACTTCCTTTCTTTATCCTCATTATATGGTCTGTGGCCATATACCTCTGAGGACTTCAGACTGCTACACAGGCCAGCTCAAGGAAGTAACTCAATTAGAACTTAGGATTGGAAGAGGCTTCTGCTTGAAACCCAATCCAAGGCTTTGAATCTGACTACAAAGTCAGGGCCTTACACTGACTGTGTCACCCTGCTTCCTGCTTGAACCCTCCTCCAATAGGAAGGGAACCACTGTCTCTTGAAAGAGCGTATTTGATTTATGGCTAAATTAAGAGGTTATTTGTGTCACAAAAGTATGCTGCACTTAATAAAGTGACTTACTGCCAATGAATCTGAACAACCATTTGAATTTTGTAGAAGTACAGTGCTCTAAATACAGTTGACCCTTGAATTGCGTGGGTCCACTTACAAGCCAATGGCTTCTTTATAAATACAGCACAGTACTGTAAATATATTTTGTCTTCTGTAGGATTTTAGTAACATTTTCCTTTCTCTAGCTTACTTTTTTCTAAAAATAATCAACTGTTTATGTTACTGGTAAGGTCGACAGCAGGCTACTGATTGTTAAGTTTGGGGGGAGTAAAAAATTATACATGGATTTTTGCCCGAATAGGGGGTGGAGGGCCAGCGCCCTTAAAGGCTGTGTTGAGAGTGAACTATATAGTACTCTTAAGCAAATACAAAAATTATTAAGAATAATTATAGATTTCCTTATGAAATCCTAAAGATTTTCATAAATATTTTGAAAGTCCTGAAGAGCAAGAATCTTTTCTTCTTCTATTGGTGTTAGGGTAAAGCTTAATGATGAAGAATGCAGCTGTGAAATTAGAAGACCTGTGTATGAACCCACATCCCACTCCTTACTGTGTGACCCTGGGCAACTGCCTAACCACTCTATATCACAATTTTTTTTCCCTCCAATAACTAATATAAAGACCCACCTCATGGGTTGTTATAAGGATTAAATGAGTTAACACTTGTACAGTACCTGTCTATAGTAAGAATTCAGTTATCTATCAACTATTAGTATTTTTGGTCTTGGTATATATCAATACATATAATCAGTAGAAACAGAAAGTCAACAAACTTTGGAATAAATAAATCAAAATAAATATGAACTTCTAAAAAAACTGTTTGACCGAATTGAAACATGTTTAAAGAATAACATGACAACCTATGATTTCACTCATATGTGGAATTTAAGAAACAAAACAGATGAACACAGGGGAAGGGAAGGAAAAAAAAAAAGTAAGATCAAACTGAGAGGGAGGCAAACCATAAAAGACACTGAACTCTAGGAAACAAACTGAGGTTTGCTGGAGGTGATGTGGTAGGGGGGATGGGGTGACTGGTGATGGGCATTAAGGAAGGCCACGTGATGTAATGAGAACTGGGTGTATATGCAAACGATGAATCACTAAACTCTATCTCTAAAACTAATAATACACTATATGTTGATTGATTTTAAATAAAATTTAAATAATAAAATAATAAAAGAAAAGAATAACATGACAACCATTTCCTTTTCTGTTTAAAGGGAAATTACTTAGAAAGCCTATTATAATAAATTGACAAATCTATTGCAGAGGAAAAAGTGCAGAGGCTCTTAAGAAGTTAGAGTTTCTACTTACATCTGGTTTGGAATGCTGAAAGATCTTCAGGGGAAATTTTAAGTCCCCTTTAGCTAACGTTACTAAATATTCCTTTAATAGCTCATTAGCCACACCAGGAGACTGTTTCTCACAACGATGAAGAAAGGGAACCATCCACTGGTAGGCACTTGTCACATATTTGTCCTCAGAACACTGAAAATACAATTAACCAAAACAAACATATTAAATACCTGATTATACCAGACAACAAGTTCTAAAACTCACATAAAATCAGACTAATGTTAAACAGTAGAAGCCCAACACTTTCTAAAACAGACACTCCAGTTCACCTCTCCTAGACAGGCTGAGAAGTGGCAGGAGAATCACCTTCTGCCCGGGGCTAGTACAGCTAACAGCAGTGTGGCCCATCTCTGCAGGACCACGGTCACTCTCGGTCCCTCACAGCGTGAGCCCCACTCTGGAAGACCAACACGCTGCTACTACGACATCAACGTGAGATCTTCCAGAGCAAAGAGAGCTTCTACCCCAAAAATGTGTGTGTGTGTGTGTGTGTGTGTGTGTGTGTGTGTGTGTGTGTGTGGAGACCGACCATGGACGGAAGAGTAAAACAGAAAAAAAGCAGAGAGACAGAGACAGGAGCACTGAAAAGCTCTAGAAGGAGACCACCTGAGGACCATCTTCTGCATAAAATCCCAGAATCTCTCCCTTCCTTTTCCTTTTCTGTTTTGTCCCTTTACATCCACCTTCACAAAACTCCAAATGACACACATGATTTTACTCATTCTCCCTGACATTCCACAACACCTTCTTTTAATTATCCCAGAAGATAACCTAAATCCCATAAGAGGAGTCTTACCTATAACACAAATCGATCTTCACTGGGTAGGTTATCAGGGGGTAAAAATTACTAAGCAAAAGGGAAGAGAGGGCCAGAGGGAGAAAGATGACAAGAAAGAAAAGGAGGGAAGATGAAAAAGTACAGGAAAAAGAGAGAAAGAGTCCGGGAGGAAAGAGAGCACATCAGGCAGCCATGACTCCTCCCCTCAGCCAGCCCACTGGAACCAGGCTGCCCAAGAGCAAAAGACTACCCGGGGCATCCTTGACAGCTGGGACCCTGCAGCCCCATCATTCCTGTCTCAGAGGTGTCTCTCTGTTCAGCGGGCTCAGTAGAAACCAGATCCTAGCATGAGCGAGTGCACTTTCTCGCCAGGGTGACCCAGGGAGAATCTAAAAGTGCTGGGCAAATTCTCCTGAAGTCACGAACCCCTAAGCCAAGATGTTTTCTTCACACAAGCACCTAGCCCTCTGAACTCCAGTACTTCTGTATAAGTGAAATATGTAAGTAATTGGGAATTTTCACATTAGTGAAGGACTAGAAACATGATTATTAGAATGGCCAGCTCGTTTAGAAATATGCCTAGCTAAAAGAAAAAAAAGTTATATACAGGGGAGTATGAATAAAGGGCAAGCAAGGTACAAAAACAGCCAAAATAATTTGGGGATGCTTTCAGTAATGTATTCAAAAATTGGATTTTTTAAGATTTTTTTATTTTATTTACTAAGTGCTCAGGTTTGGAGGATATTTTGTCTTTGGCTTTGAGACCCACATTAATCAAAGTACATAGGGAATGCTTAAGAAGAAAATTAAAATAAAACCTACACTATTCATCAGTAGTCTTAGTTTTTCAATGTCTTTCATCTGCTGGAGTTCTTTCAAGGTTAGGGTTAAATCACACCCGGCTTCATAAACCAAAGCTTCCAGAGTAACCAAATTATCACAAAGAGCCAGCAAACCGGGAATGTTCCGCTCCATTCCAAGTCGAATGAGTGACAACGCGCAGTCGACCTGAAATGGAAAAGCGACAGTAAATCTGAATTTTCTGTGTCTCCCACATCTTCTCAAATAAAAGCCTCCAGTACAGAATCTAATTCTGCTAATCACCTTATATAAAATCATATTATCAGCAACATGCATTTATTTAATATAAAAACAGAGTTCTTCATCAAATATATCAGCAAACTGTTTCGAAAGAATCAGCAAGAAATACTGAAGATAATAAAAGAAAGACAACCATCTTAAATTCATACAGCATGACAGTTTAAGAGCAGTTTTACATATATCTGTCAACTTAATTCTCAAAACATTAACAAGCGGGGGGTGAGGTGGGGCAAGAAAGCTAGTTAGTGATAATGCCAAATTAATCCTATTTTCACTATATCACTCTGCTCCAGAAACAAAAATTTTTGTGTTTATATCCCTGTTCAGTACCTATCCTTCCGCAGCACCTCCCATATAAAAGGCATTCAGTAAATACTCGCTGCATGATGAACTCTGAGAGACACTTTCTCTGTCTCAATCCAAACATTTACACTTCACTTAGACCAAAATGAGGACTGATTTTCCTAGACATGCTCAGGACACAGCAATCTGACTCCCTGTCCCTTGATCGGGTTTATGAAAGGACGTACCTCTGACTGATGGCAAAATCATCTAACGTGTCCTTCACTCACAACACCTCGTACTCCTCACTTCCTCCCTTATTCCTAGACTACCAGACTACCAGTTATTTACTGAGGACCGCCTATGAACTAAGCATCATTCTAAGTGTTAGGAACATAAAATTGAATAAGAAGAGGTCTCTTCTTTCAATGATCTCTCCACCTCGTAGGGAAACTGACTTGGTACAGCAGAGACTGAAGTACAGTGAGGGGACCTCAAAGAAGGGCACGTGGCCCAAACCGTCACAAAGTCTCCCCAAGGGAGGAAGACTTGAAATGCACTTTCAAGAATCCATGGATAGGGGCGCCTGGGTGGCTCAGTCTGTTAAATGTTTGCCTTCAGCTCAGGTCATGATCTCGGGGTCCTGGGATCGAGCCCCGCATCGGGCTCCCTGCTCAGCAGAGAGTCAGCCTCTCCCTCTCCCTCTGCCCCTCACCCCCCTCATGCTCTGTCTCTCTCTCTCGTTCTACTCTAATAAATAAATAAAATCTTAAAAAAAAAAGAATCCATGGATATTGGCAGGTCATAAAGGAAGGAGGGCAGGAGAACAGCATGGAAGGCAGAGATGCGTGACGTGTTGTGAGTACAGTTAGTCCCCTAAGACAGAGAAGATGGTCTGAAGCGAAGCGATGAGAAACACGGCTAGAGCAGCGGGGAGGGGCCGCAGAATGGAGAACACTGTTCGCTGAGCTAAGGAAGTTACAGTTTTTCCTGAAATGCAAATACTACCAGAGGACTTCCAACTGGGGCATGTCCTAAGTCGATTCACACACTTGAGAAAGAATACGTAGTCAGTATTCACCGAATGATGAACTGGAAAGGAACTGAAGACAAAACAGGCCAGTGAAGAGAACTGCACTTTCTAGTATTAGAAGACTCTCGACTAATGACAAGAACAGCACCCGAGGGACAGCAAAATTTAAGGGACAAGCCAAAGGACGTGAGCCACCAGAGACGAAAACAAATGGCTGAGACAAAGACAAGGGGGAAAGCACAAAGACACCTCAGAAGCCACACAGAGGAGACTGAGGGAGAGAGGAAGCAGTGGTGTCCAAGAACGATGTGTAAAATAACACAGGAAGGGTGTGATGTGAAGAAGCCGTTTCCCTACAGTAGTAGGGGTGGCCAGACTCCAGACAAATGAGGAGGAAAGAATCGTCGAGAAAGTGACAACAAAGAGCACAGGGGACTATTTTGGAGCTGTGACAGAGGGAAGACAAATGCAACCAAAGCCAGGGAGATTAGGACCCTTAATCTTTGTTGTTGTTTTATTTATAAAACAGGAGTGGTTGGGACTTCAGGTCCAAAAAAAAAGGAACAAAGTAGAGAAGGAGGGATGGAAGACACTGGGGAGAGAGCCCAGAGCCACAGAACAGACCTGAGCAGGCCGGGGTGTGGAATCCAGAGCACAGGGAAGGAAAGCAGTAGCCTGGATGCAAGAGAAGAGATCTCTTCCTCTGGGAAAAGCCGGAAAGAGTAAGGACTAATGGAACTGAGTTCTCAAGTTCCCCAGTGAAATACAAAGCAAAATCATCTTCCGGGAATGAGGAGGTGGTAGGCTGGGAGGAGCAGAGAAGGGGGAGGGGCAGTGCCTCAAGGGGAGGAAGGACACGGAGCAATATTAAAGGACCACTCTCAAAGCCCTTTAAAGCCCCAGGGACTGACCAGTACAGATGAAATGAGAAGAGAAGAAATGCATTTTCAGTTGGAAAGAACAGTGCCAGTAAATACAAGGCGGGGGGGGGGGGGGGCGCAGAATATAGCTATGCCATACCTTACACATAGGTAAGGCATGAGGCAAAACAGGAGTGATCTGGTAATACTTCAACAGAGAAGTGTTTTTTTACTTAATTTCTAGTAATAAAAATACAGTTCACATCTGAAAAGACAGATCTACCTGTATACCAATTCAGAAAAAAAACCCAAAACTATCACAGGTGAATTTTCAGAAAGCGTGAAGAAAACCTGCTGCATAAAACACAACTCTGGGCTGGTAATGTTTGAACACAGACAGCACATTTGCCATGTGTAACACACTCACCAATTTTGTGATCCAGATTGGCTTTCCTAGTACGAACTTGGAAGTTGTTGCTTTCCCAGACACTTACTGAGGTAAAAATGTTTTAGAACCAAATTACTGACACCTTAAATGAAAGCAGGCTCTAATGCAACTTGAATTATGCCACGTACCCCAAGCCCTCACTGGATAAATTTCACTACTATACACATTTCCTAATCCAACAAACAAGTCTTGCTAAAAGGCATTTGTAGGCACTAAGGAAAAAGAAGTCCCACATCAATTAAGTCTCTAAAAATGAAAGAGATAAAAACCATGTTAGATATCACTTTGTAGCATAAGCCACATGAAGCATCAATAAATAAAATGAAGCTGAAGAATAATACTTCTATTAGAAGTGCTTTTATATAAAGGAAAGAGATGAAAGAATATAAAGGGCAACCGAAGCACCCCCAAATCACTTCCCTTTATAGTTATTCCTAATTCCACAAAAATGAATTCAAGATGTCTAGCAATTATTACTGGACTGTTAAAAAATTTAAATTTCAGAAAGCTCTATGGTTTCCTTTCTGTTTATTTTTTATAGACTTTACATTTTAGAGCAGCGTTGACAGCACAAATCACGAAGAAAGTACGGCCACTTCCCACAGAGCCTCTACCCCCACCTACCAACAACCTCCCACGTTATCTACAGCCCCCACTGGAGTGGTTCACTTGTTACAGTAGATAAACCCATACCAACACACCATTATCACTCAAGGTGATAAAGCACAAAGAGCACGTTGGGAATTAGACTGGAGCACCTCCAGAGACTCTTCTCATCCCAGTATCAGGATTCTAAACATTTTCAAATGCACTATGGTCCTTAGCCATCTTCAAAGACCTGGAAAGTCAATCAAATATTCTTGGCCCACCCTTCCCAAAAGTTTGATCTATAATATTACCATCAGCTCCAACACATAGCTCCCCTTCAATTCTATGAATACTAAAAGTAGGAGTCCAAGTAGGCAGAAATTCAAGGAGACTATCAAATGGAGACACAGGGCCGCACCCATCACTGTGTAGAAATGTAAACACAGGGGTGCAAATTCCTTCCCACAGTACGGCGGCTCATCAGACCCTTTAGAATCACCCTTCCTGTCACATGAAAAACTGATGGTAGGACAGGTGGTCCAAAGCCAAGACCGCAAGTAGAAAGAAAACGGCATCCCGCGGCCAGATCCTGAATGAGATTTCAATGTGCATTCTGCCATTCTTCACTCTGAATTGCCAACTTCTGTTGTCTAAGATGAAGACAACTATTGCTTACATTTGCAGGGCACTCAATTAGCAGGATTTTTAATATTCTCTCCTGTGCATTTTCTTTGTTCTCACTGACCTTGGTATAGGAACCAAGCCCATGAAAAAAATCAACGTGCAGAAAAGGTAAGTGGCAGGTCCGGAGTCACGAGGCGTGTTAGTGGAAGAGTTAACATTAGTGTTCAGACCTCCTAAGCTTCAGTACATCCTTATCCCTCTCTTCACTGTCTGATGTAGTTCGTTTGCAGCTCCATAAAGGCAAAGGGAACTGAGGGGAATTAGGCTTAGACTTAAGGAAAACATTAGAGACAGAGCCTCAAACAAGGTTCCTAAAAAGCAAAATTAAAACCAACTGCATTACTGTGATATGACAGGGAGCCGATCAAGTATTTCTGGGTTGATACAGTCATTTCCACTAATATGGTATTAAGCCTATTAAAAAGATATGGAAAATCGTGGAGAGGATGTACCATATTTTGCAACTTATATTTTAGAGAAAGATTTTGAACAATTTTTCTTCTATGTATTTGATTTTTAAGAATCCCCAAAAAAGCCACAAAAGCTTTCTGAGACAAAGGATGAAAGAACAAATGTAGTAAGAAATATTCATTTCATCTCTGCAAACCAAACACATGCTCCCCGGCCCCACCGTCGGCTGCCATGACACACAGAGAATCCTGAGGCCCCAGCACGGCATGGCTGGCGTCCCTGAGGAGCAGCCATCGTTCTCCCCTCACCTGTCGGGCATAATGCTCTATTTCCTGTGCTCTGGTCTGATACCAGTCCATAACCTTCTCTACTGTAAGCTCCGATGTCCTGTACCTCAGTAACCCGGGCTGGGCGGCGTATAAGAACTCGCTTTCATCTTGGAGACTCGGCTCGACCACCGCTCTGCAAAGCACAAAAGGAACAATTGGTAACGGACTGGAATGCTGGGAAAAATGAGAATTTTGTGGAAGACAGAGAGAGAGGAACAGAGATGGGGAGCGAGTGGTGACAGAGACAGGGAGCATGCATGTATGTGTGGGGGAGGGGGATGGGCGTGTTTGTGTGTGTTTTCCCGTATCTGTGGGCACACTTACAAGATAAATGGGACATTTGGGAGATGCTTAATTTATTTTCCTATTAGGTTTCCCAATTTAAAAAATCAGGATGGACAAAAAAATCAAAACAGCCATGCCACAAATCAATCAAATAAGTATTAACGAAAATCAAAATCACCCTGGGAGGCTTTTACCAAATGCACATGGCTGGGAGCCTGCCATGGGCGTACTCAATCAAAATTACCTGTGAGGCCAGCCAGGCCTCATTTAGGAAAAACACCTCCAGGTGATTCTACCTGAAATATATTTTCAGAAACCTTGTTTTCCATGTTCATAAAAATCAGAGGAAATACGCCTTATTTACATCGGTAACACACCCTTAGTAGATATCAGCAATGGGGTACTGCCCTGACATTTACAAAGTACGGAACTGCTCTGTGCCACTCGCCGAAGGTAAAGAAGGACCCCAAGAGGAAAGTACGCAAGGCTAACAGCCCAGGGATCACAAATTATGAGGAGTTTTTAAGAGGATGATCCTGGCCAATTGCGCTCCATAATCAAGGACTAAAAAAAAAGGGCTTAAACCAAGAGAGTTCAGAGGGGCCTATGGAAAGCTGCTGGGCGCCACTAGGGCTATCCATTCACCTGGGCCAGCCCACAGTAATGACAGGTGCTCTCACAGTTACCGTTACAAGGCAGTGGGCTCTGGAGTCAGAACTGAAGCACATTGCATCGCTGAAAGCTCTGAAACTCTGCATTAATTACTGAGCTAAAACTAATCTTAGATTCATTTTATTCATATAAAATGGGGAGAATGCAATGCCAGAGGATTTAAAATAATACAAATTAAATACACAGGGAACATCGTCTAGCACGGAGCATGTGTTTAATTTTTTATTTACAGGTTTTTTTTATTAGAATTATTAGTAGCTGTAATATATGAGCAGACACAAAGCCCATTAAGATTTGGGCATTTTAGTCACATGCTTTGACAACCTACTGTGCTTATAATTGGTAGCCCTTTACCCAGCTGGTCTCACAACTGCCATTAACATTCTGACTGGTGGTTTTTCCCCATCACTGTCACGAAAAAAGTCACATTTCCCCCTGAAATCTTTAAAGCTGCCCATTTTAGCAGGGAAAAATACCCACGAGCAACTCTGAGGTCCTCTGATATTTTTTTCAGTCCTTAATATTTCCCTCTCGGCACTGACAGAATTTCACTGCTTTCTCCTTCCAGAAGCTGGCTTCCCTCACTCCAGTATGTGGGGCTGTCTGCCTTCTCTCATCTTCCTGGTGGCTCCTCCTGGGTCATCTCCACCAGAACAGCTTCATCCAGCCGACCCCTGCATCCTGGCTCCTCCCCACACCCAGTGAAGCTCTCTCCTCTCTACTCACTCTGGACTCTCTCTTGGTCTCGCCGTTGACTACAGCATAAGCTACCACATGCACTACAACAACGACCCTATTTGACCCCTAAGTCACACTTCACTCAGAAGTCCCAAAATCTTCCTATTTGCTCCCCCATGTTTCACAGGCACTTCAAATGCAACAAGATCAAAACTGAATTCAGGATCTCCTTGGGTAATATAGTTATCTCTATAAAAACAGAAACCTGATTTTATCATGCCCGTGCCTACTTTTATAGCCTGTAATCTGCTGTAAAATATTCTAGCCTCATCTTGGTGCCAATCTCACTTTCGTTCTGGCTACTTCAACAAGACAGGTCTTTATTTTTAGTCCTCGAAGGGGACATTGCCTTGAGCCTTCTTCCAACATGCTGTTCTCTCTGCTTAGAACACACCCCTCTCTTTTGACAAACTTGCCCTCCACTGGGCTAAATTAAATCCTGTTAATTCTTCAAATCTCAGATTTCACAAGATTTTGCCCAGGACGGCCTTCCCTGCCCTCCACCAAGCGGAGGTCTCCCTGTGACGTGCTCCCCGCACACCCTCCCTGGGCTTTCCTAGCACCCATCATGTCGGTCATTTACAGCAGGACCATTTTTCCCACCACAGTATAAACTTCACAAGAACAGGGACTGCATCTGCTTTTCTTCCTTCAGTATTTTTGTGTCTAGCAGAGGACAGACACCAATTAAACGAATAAGCAACAAACGAATATGTCCTGTAATACTGAAAATCTGTACCATCTTCAAAAGCATCTTTTCCTCTGTCAAACTTTTCCTGACTTTTCATTTTTAGTTTTAGGAGTTCTGGCACAGCAAGCTCTGCTTACATTTCAGCTTGCTGTGGTTGGTCTGGGAAGAAATGCCCTCATGCCTTGCATCTACTTAGAATCATACAAAGGCGCAGGCTGCGGGGAACTGGGAAGCAGGGGATGAATGGGTCGGGGCTCTACCCGGGCTACTCTCTCAAAAGCCCATCTGGAAATGAGAGAGTTCACCTGTCAATGGTCTCTCCACACCTCCGCCTATCACCTGTCTACTGGCCCTGACCTCCCACCATCTCCAGTTTCTCTACCTCGTCAACCTCTCACTACAATTGCTAAGTGATGACTTCTAATTAAATATGGCTGATGAAGACCACACATTTAAGCTCCACTGTCTCCTGCAACTGCCCTGAAATGGCAGCATAAGATCATTAACGGGAGAGGGGTGGAGGATGCCACACACACGATCAGGAGGAGCAGGGTACATGCACACCATTACCTTCCATTCTAGGAAGCCCACAGTTAACGGCCAGAACTAAAAAATCAAGTAGCAGCACGACTGTTATTCTGAGATATGGAGTTAACAGCAAAATTATCATCTGAAAGAATTAAAAGTAATTGCTTCTGGAGAGCAGAAAATGGGGAGAAGGGTACAAAGGACTGCGGGTTTGGGTTCTGCTTTTTTTTTTTTAACAACAAGCTTTGTAGAAAATTTTAGCTCTTTAATCTACTTGCAAATATATATGACTTTTATTAAAAAATGAAAACTAAATTAAAAACAACTTTAAAGATTTATTTATTTTAGAGACAGAGAGAGAGAGCACAAGAGGGAGGGACAGAAGGAGAGGGAGAAAGAATCTCCAGCAGACTCTGCGCTGAGCACAGAGCCCAATGTGGGGTTTGATCTCACGACTCTGAGATCGTGACCTGAGCCAAAACCAAGAGCCAGACGCCCAACTGATTGCGTCACCCAGGCACCCCTAAAAATAAGTTTTAAAAAGCAAACAGCAAAAACACAGCAGGACATTCAATTGCCATTACACTAAAAGTTATTGGAGTAAAAAAGGTAACTAAGAATTACTTACTCCATTATCTCAGATATCCAAAACACAACAAAATGAAAGGAAACGGCCAACGTTACCACTAACATTGAGAGAGCTCCCAAATGTCACCTGCAGTGATTACACTACTGCTTAGGGCTTTTATTTATCATTTATCAGATAGTATATATACATAGTTTCAAAAATCCAAAAGCATGAAAAGAGTCCTATCAAATGAAAAGCCAGCAATTCCATACACAATCCATACTGCCACCATCCTTGCCACCCTCTATGCCATTTTTACATCTTTCAGCCATCTTCCTGGATTCTCCTCTACGCATCTGAACGGTATGTGCTTGTGACTATTTCTGATTTATCTACCCTACGTGCTATTCTGCTCTCTTAAGCCACAACCATCCACTTCCCCTACACCCTTTTCTCCCATGGTGGATATATCACAATTTACCACAATTAAACCACTAATTATTTGCATTATTATTATTATGTGATTATGATTATCTTCTCCTGAGCCAAGTGGTACATTATCAAAACTACTGCTCTTTTTGAACAACTTTTCATTTTCTGAAGTTAATAAATGCCAAGTGTCCTCCTGTCCCGCCCACGGACTCCTATGCATCCACCGCTATGCTTTCCAAATTCTCTAAAAGATGTATTAAGAGCAAAATATAAACTGACAAAGATTTTTCCCAAATAGTCAAATATAACAGGTAATATTCCTGTTCCATTTTTCAACATTTTCCAAGAGACCTGGCTCCTGAAGCCATCCACACCCTTCCACAGTCTGTGCTGGCTGCTCGCTCCCCCGACAAGAACACAGCTGGTCAGCCTGGGCCCTCCCGTTGCCACGGCCTATGTTAGAGCCCAGTTCTGAATCTGATGGCTTTTTTTTTTCCCCCTGACTCCTTCATTTTAATAAAACACATCTTATATGGCTTCCTGAAATGAGATGTACATGGGTGGTAAATTTTACAAAATCTTACATGATTAACCTCATACTTGATTGATGATTTTAGCTAGATCTAAGAATCCTGATCAAAAAATATTTTCCATCAAAAGTTTTTCTTCTAGCTTCTATTGCTGTTCTGGAGATATCTGGAGATGTTCTGGAGGTCACTCTAATTCAAACTTCCTTTAATGTAATGTTTTTCTCTCTGGGAGACTGCATCCCAGATATTCTGGAAGGTCGTGATGGTATGCTTTAGTGCACTGGGCATTTCAATCTGAAAACCCATAGCCTTGGGCGCCTGGGTGGCTCAGTTGGTTAAGCGACTGCCTTCAGCTCAGGTCATGATCCTGGAGTCCCGGGATCGAGTCCCGCATCGGGCTCCCTGCTTGGCAGGGAGTCTGCTTCTCCCTCTGACCCTCCTCCCTCTCATGCTCTCTGTCTCTCATTCTCTCTCTCTCAAATAAATAAATAAAATCTTTAAAAAAAAAAAAAAAACCCATAGCCTTCAATTCTAAATAATAGGCTTGAAATATTTCTTATAAATTTCTTCCCTTCTAAAAAAAAAAAAATTTCTTCCCTTCTATTATATATATCATCTCTTTCTAGAATGCCTATAATTTGAATATTACGTTTGTTTTTTTATCTTTGCTCTCTTATCTAGCTCTATAATATTTTTATTCTACTTTCTGAGAAAGTACTTTGCTTTTACCTTTCAACCCTTCTAGTTTTTAGACACCAACTATCGTATTTTTTGTTTCCCAAAGTTCTCGTAGTTCTCTGTTCCTATGTTATAAAATCCTTTTGTTACTTCACAGCATCTTCTCTTATCACCTGGGCAATATTAATTTTTGAAGTTTTCTTTTTGTGTGGCCTCTGACTTTCAGTTCCATTTTCCATGTGTTCTGCCTGCCGGCGCCAGTCCTTGAACGTCCAGGAAGCTCGGGGGTTGTAATAGGACTTACTCATTTGCTGACTTCACTGAGGCCTGGTAATGCACGAATCTCTCAGGACAATATGTCAGTATCTAGAGGCCTCTTCTCAGAGGCTACTCCATTTCTCCAGAAATCTCCAAACTTCTACTTGGGGAATATGCCTACACTCCAGGAGCTGGGAGGTGGCAGGGAACCAAAGCTTCAACGTTCAGGACACAGATTTTCACTAAATGCTCCGATTTTCAACTCCAGCACTCCCAACCCCACCCTATGCTGTGCCTGATGCCCAGGAATCTGGAGGATTTCTGGATCAATCTGAAGGTTGTAGGCCTCAATTCATGAATCCAAAAAATTAACCTCTGATTTCATGTAGGAGAAATATGGAAGGAGAGATAGTGAAGGAAGATTTACCTGACTTTGAGGAGTGAGGAATAAGGGAATTCAAATGCTTTCAGCCCCATCCCTCATCTCCCACCCCCTTGCCAGTAGTTGATGACTCCACGTTCTGAGGCTTTCTAAGGTTAAGTCTTACAAAAATAAAAATTCAAACTGAATCAAAAACAAAATTGTGTGCATACCATAATAACAACCATGAAAAGTATATTTCTATGTGTCAAAGACTAAAAGGAAATACTTTAAAGAAGAAAAGAGTTGGTGTATCAGGATCATTTTTTAGAGTATTTACTTTGTAGCATTTAATATTCTTCCATTAAGAAAACTGTAATGTAACTGAGTAAAAATCAAGTCAAGTGTTTAAAACAACTCCACTCAAACTCTCTAAATCAGGGACTATCAGGTACATGGTCACCTACCACACACCACCTCGAAAGGGCCTTCTAATCATCCATCCCGGAGAAATGAAGGTCTCTCGCACAGGCTCATCCTTACCTGCACTCCAGCTCCTCGCACCAATCTTTATCTCGGTGTTTGTGTTCATGCCAAGGAATGAGCACCAAGGAGTCACCATTATAACTTAAATTAAAAAAAATATATATATACATAAGCATTTAAAATACACATTAGCTCAATGACTGGTACACAAGGAACATGATGCAAAAAGTATTTCTATGACCTTATATCTCCATTCCTGCTTATGGTACATTAAGTGGTACATGTTACATGCTATATACAATATGTAAATGGAAAATACCAAATTATTGATTTCTCTTCAATCAGAAAATGGTTCAAGAAGAAAAGGATATTATTTCAAAACTAAAAATTTGGCAAGGAACTAAAGGACAGCATGGGTGTGTGTTCATTCACACATTCTAAAACATTTATCAAGAGCCTAAGTTTTGTGCTCTTATTATCAACATAAATGGCCCCTTGCCCTCGAAAAGCTTATAGTCTTAACTTCCTGTGATCATAGAAGTGTTCTATAACTATGCTATCCACTATAGTAACCAGGGCCTACGTGCACATGTATTACGCACTGGAAATATGGCTAAGAGAACTTTAATTTTATTTAATTTTAATTAGCATTAATTAAAATTTAAATAGACACATAAAATTTAATTTAAATTTAAATAGTGGCTACCGTATATGACAGCACAGACCTGGAGGACAGGTAATTATTAAGAGGGAAGAAATGATTTTGCAGGTTAAAAATAACACTAAATGATCAAAAGGTACAGATTTCCAGTTAGAAGATAAACAATACTAGGGATGTAATGTACATGATGACTAGAATTAACCCTGCTGCATGATATATGGGAAAACTGTTAGGTCAGTAAATCCTAAGAGTCCTCACCACAAAGAGGAAATTTTTTTTCTTTTTCACTTTATTTCCTTTATATTTTATCTATAGGAGATGATGGATGTTAGCTGAACCTATTGCGATAATCATTTCACAGTGTATGGAAATCAAACCATCATGCTGTGTGCCTTCAACTTACACAGGGATGTATGCCATTTATTTCTCAGTAAAACTGGAAAGAAAGCATATCACTAAAAAATGAAGAGGAGAACTAGGAAGGGAAAAAATAAGGCCTGACTGGATGGAATTAAGAATAAATTCAGAAAGAACAGTGAGGTACAGATAGTAGAGTATGGTAACAGAGCAGAGCATCATTCCACACATCGGGCTGCACCGAGCACAGAAACCCAGCTGCCCAGCACCTAGCCCTGCGGTCTTTGGCATATAACTTTCTAAAGCGAAACACTTCAGACATTACCTTGAAGGCCCCTTTTAGCTCTAATACTCTGTAAACCCATGACAATAGATGAAACATTCTGAATTAAGAAGACAAAAATTTTAAGAACAAATTTCAATTGATCTGCTTTATAGTTCAATGAAACATTTTCTCTCCTGTTTCTGAGTATTAATAGTTGCAATTTTCTAAAATTTATCATAGCCCCAGGGAAAGGATTGCACTTTCTTATAATAGGTTGTATTTTGCTCTTTCTTCTCTTATGAGGTTATGCAACATGCCTTGCACAAGAAACACTTTGTAAACATTTGAATATTATGTCGGTGAAGAGATTAGTCCTCATGTACGAGGTAACAGGAGCCCACTGGGTGGTTTCAGGTAGAAGATGGAAGCTGAAAGATCTGAGAACGGGCAGTGCTGTCCATCAGTCAACAGCGTCCCCGTCAGGTGAATACTGGTGCAAATTATCCGAAGTCAGTTTCCCGTTAGATATAGACAAGAAGAAATGTATTATACTTTATTTTATAAACACAGTTTTTGACCCACCTTGCAGCTAGCATGTAATGTCCTTGCAAACTGTGTACCAGAGACACATTCGTGAAGGCATCTGAGTTCATATTTTTAAATTTCTGCATCACATAGATGATTATTTAGCATAGATGCCACAATCACACTATTTCACTTGTCACCAAATAAAAAACTATTTTATTTCCCTCTATGTCAATAACTAATACTTTATCACAGGCTACTGAAATGGAAAGTAAAGAAGAACATGGGGGATACAACGATGATAATAATGTTCACTCCTCCAACAGAAGAATAAATTATAGAAGTGAATTAAGGAACAAGGAAAAAAAAAAACGAACGATTACTGCCTTTTCTAATTAAAGCAGACACGGTTCCATAGCTACATAAAATGCTTTCTAAAAGAATTTTAGAAAAATGTATCGCAAGTTGAGATTTGTACTTTCTACACAAAGTACATATTAGATACAAGGGTTATTACTGAAATGATGAATAGTGCCGTGGGACCCTCAGCAAAATAATATTCATTGGGTATTTAAAGACTAGAAGCTATAAAACTTTGTTAAGCTTCACTGAACAGAAATGGGTATGAAAACATACCTATTTTTATCAGAATGCAGTATTAAAGACAAGTTCTGCTCAGAGGTACACTCCAAAAGGCAGGCCTGGAGAATCCTGAGTTCATAAAGTATTTTTGCTGCATTTTCGAAGCGAAGCACAACTGAACGTCTCTAAATGTGCTGGTCACCACTGATGTAGTAACAGCACTGCCTGTACTACTCTTAGTATATTTGCAATGATCGGCAACATTATCTTTAACATTTATTGATCTCTTACTATGGACTAGACAGGATAAAATACATTTAACCTACAATAGCTCATTTAGTCCTACCAATCTAATGTAGCTGGTGATAGGATCTTCCTCGTACTATAATAGGAAAACCGAGGCCTAAGTTAATTTGCCCATCCTCATAAAACTAATAAATGCCAGTGCCAGGATTTCAACACAACCAGTTAGAATCCAAAACTTAAGACCTCGAGCGGGCACAGGCCCCTAGAAAGGGCACAGGGTCTACAGTCTAGCCCCCACCCGCAAATCCATCCATTCTCATTTCTACCATTCCCGTGCTTCATACCTAAGAGCCACCAGGCAAGATGTGTAGGTGGCCGGAAGAGGGTCACTTGAGCCTTCCCGATATTTAACTCAAATTCAGACAGCCCAATAAGGACCATTTACATGCATATCTAAAGTACAATATAAAACCAAACTCAATACCAGTAGCTTACTAACATGATGAAACTAACTTCTACCAAATATGGCTGGACCTTAGGTCTGATTACCGACACTTATGTAAAAGCAAAAAAAACCAAAAACTTTCTTTCTGCTCTTTTCTTACAGGATGTTTCTGCAAAGCAAGCTATTTTAAAACACATTTTAGGAGTTTAAAATACTTGCTATAAAAATACTGTAAGTTCTTTATCATGCTTCAAATAACCGCATTTCAAAAACAGGATCTCCTCCCTACCCAGAACATAAATTCTTTTGAGGGCAAAATTTTTGTTTGTTTTGTTTACTGCCATATCCTCAATACCTAAAATAGTGCCTGGCATTTAGCAGACTCTAAAATAATGTGGCAATTGAACTATTAAATGAAAGCATAAAGATTTTTTTTTAAGTGAACACTGTCAACTATACTCAATTTTTTTTCAAAAAAGTGCTCTCATGAGTATCACAGAAATTCAAAATTGGAATAAAGCAATGAAAGGGGACAATCTGTTCATAAAAACAGATATGCCAAGGAAGTACATATACATATATATAGAGAGAGAGAGAGAATCTGCAGATCTGAGCGTGAGAACACAAACACTTTCCTTATATAGACCACTGCACGCTGATGAAACAGTAAGCTACACCAACCAGCAGTGGTGCACATCTAATCGAGGTAGTGGGACATGTCATGTTCTAGTTCAGGTGGGAAAAATATTTCAGACTATATATTTCCCTAAATCTCACCATTCTTTACACTTGAAAATAACTAACTGGTTCTATCATTACCTTTTTAAAAATGCCCAAATTTTAGTTACTTATTCTTTCATAAGGTAAGCAGAATGACAGCACATACAATAAAATTCAGAGAAAACCTTTTTCATTAATTCTGTTCACAATAAACATATTAGTCATATAAATCAGTCAATGCGCTAGGTGAAATTGTGGTTCACAAAAAACCTAGGGAACGCACTGCTTCCTTCTAAAGAATTGTAGGAAGTTTGGGGAGTTGCAAAAGTTACACTCTGAATCTAAAGTTCCACAAACACAAAACACTTATATATACTTTGTTTCATCTTTGTCTTTTAGTGTTTCCACTTGGCTTAAGAAGTCTTAAAACTTAAATGCATCAACCCCCCACTAAAAATGGGAAGTACAGGGTAAACTTAAATGATCCCTTTACAAAATAATGGCTGCTTAATTTTAAGATTCTTTATATTAGAACCCTGTTCATTGTTTTATTCCAAACAGTAACTTTGCTGGTTTCATCTGAAGGTAACATCTGTCTGCAGGGAAGGAATGAATATTATAAGTTCTATTATGTTTGACTATTCTCTCGCCAATTATTTCTCACACTAAATTTAAATGTTTTATTTCAAAGAAATTTTATCAAGAATAAACTTACAGAAAGTTCTTTTGTTCGTGTTCTATGCCGTGGAAACAAAAGGCAAAATAGACTGCGCATTACTACTAATTGCCACCATTTAATGCACTGGTTTTAAGATGTGGAGTTATATTTATTTCTGTTATTTAGCATAGAAGAAAATGTTCTGGTAAATAAAGAACAAGAAATAATAACTTGAGCCCACATGTATACTACACTGTGGTCACCATTACTGAACAAATCACACTGGTCTGAAACTCAGTGGGAAACCAATCAAAACGCTGTTTTCATTCAGAAGGCCAGGCTGGAAAAAAGCTATCTAAAGGCATCACTCCGAGTTCTCTTCTGAACCAACAGGATTCACTCTCATTAACATATGACTTAGAAAATACAGCAGATTAAGGAGGTATTTTGAAACTTAACCCATATTTTCAGATGTTAGCGAAGAATACAAGAAACCAGGGTGAAAATACCACCTCCAGGACTGGACTCTCCTCCCCGCTCCACCAGCTACTTCATCTGTTCCCTGGGACCCAGCTGCTTCATCTATTTAGCAAATACTGTAATATTATCTGCCCCAAATGAAGACAAGACTAGACAAATATTTTCTTGAATTCTAATCCATTATAATTAAGAGTACAGTGTC